GTGGATAGAGATCCGGACTTGGAGTCAGGAAGACCTGAGTTCAAATCCGGCCTCAGATACTTGAAACTTACTAGCTGTGTGACCCTGGGAAAGTCACTTAACCCCGATTGCCCCACCAAAAAAAAAAAAAAGGAATACTGTTGTGCTGTAAGAAATGATGAGCAGGATAGTTTCAGAAAAATCTAGGGACTGATGTGAATTGATGCAAAGTGAAGCAAGCAGAATCAAGAGAACTTTATATACACTGTATACTGACAGCAATATGGTAATGATGTAAAAGACTTAGCTACTCTGATCACGACAATGATCCAAGACAATTCCAAAGGATCCATGACAAAAAATGCTCTCCACCTCCAGAGAGAGAACTGATGAACTCAGTACAGATTAAAGCATACTTTGTTATTCTCTCTTTTTATTCTCTTTCTTGCTTTGTGTGTGTGTATGTGTCTGTGTTTTCTTCTGCAACATGGCTAATATGGAAATGTTTTGCATGACTTCACATGTAAATTTGATATCATATTGCTTGCCTTCTCAGGAACGAGGGAGAAAATTTTGAACTCAAAATTTTAAAAAATGTTTAAAAAATTTTACATGTGCTTGTGAAATAGTTAATGAAATAAATAAAAAAATTAAAAAGACTAACTTTAGAAATCAGGACTCCTCTCATATTTCAGATAATTTTAACTGACTCATTCACTATTAAAAGGTTATGCAACATTACTCAAAATTGTTACATTTTGCTTAATGCTTAACCTACTTAGAGATCAGAAGTTGAAACGGTAATGGAAGAAAAGTTCTTTCCAAACATAGCTAAAACATTTGTTGTGATTAAAATTAAGGTAAACTGAGGAACAAAGGTCTGAGCACATTTGATCTACTGGTGAGGCTAGCAATTACGAATAAATGGAGTCTCTTGACTCCTCAGTCAGTCAAAAGACCCCAAAGTAGGGCTCACCAGCCTTCATGTGGTTTTGGGAAGTACAAGAGAACAATGAACAGGAATCATCAACAACATGATTGGTTATAAAGTCTGAAGTGTCACAGATGATGGGAAACAATATGAATGGATGGAAGTCAGGAATGCAGGACCAGCAACAACCCCTCCTGCCATCTTGTTGCCATGGAAAGCTCATTGGTGGTGTCCCCCTGCATGGCTAACAGTATAGACTTCCTTGAAGGACAGCCAGCCTTGCAGGCTTCCTGGTGCTCACCTGTATCTTACAAGACTTGTTATCAAGATAAGAGTTCTACCTTAATTGTACATGGGCAGTAAGATGTATAGAGACAACATATTCCTTTGAATTAAGATGATTTATGGGACAACTTAGCTCAGAGAGGAAAGCAGAACCTCTGAACTTAACTCAGAGATAAAGAAACACAGCTTATGCAATTTTACGACATGTTGGGGGTGATACTGAAAAGAAGCAATTACAAAATGGAATCAGAATCAATTTGATTTTCTCATATCAATTTCCAGTAGTAAGAAAGTGCCAGACATGGTTACATACATGCCCTGAGCTTCTTCCTCCTCTCCCCAACTACATCTCTATTTCTATCTAAAGTTCAAAGCGAATCTTTTCACTTGCAATGCTTTGCTTCAGTGTTTGAATGACCTCTGGTGGCTGCTGGAATCATCACTACAAATCAATTGGTAGGGTATTAGAATTTAAGGATAACAAAAGAATATCTTGAAAATTTACAATTAACATGTCAACATTATACCAAACAATAAAGTGAAGTTGAGATGAAATTTAATTTATAGCATGAATTCTCATTAAACCAATATCCATTCATTCAAACTATACTTAACTCAAAGCATCAATTTCCTAACTGAATAAAGATGGTGGTTGTTGTTTTTTAAGAGAAAAGATCACCTGAATAAGAGTTAATCAAAATTTCACTTAATTAACTTAGAATTAGCTAAGGTTTAATCTGATTTACACACTCACTCAAATTATACTAGTCAGGACCTCAGTTCTATGTTATTGCTCAATAAGTGCTTCCTGAGAACCACTGTTGTTGTTTTTCAGTCTCATCCAACTTAACACGACCCCACAGACAAAACTTGGCAAGGCATTGGAGTAGTTTGCCATTTCCTTCTCCAGTATGAGGATGAGGAACTGAGGCAAGTAGGGGTTAAATGATTTGCCCAGGGTCATACAGCTAGTACGTGTCTGAGGCCAGATTTGAACTCAGATCCTTAGCTCACTATAATTCACTGCTTCCTACCATAGGACAGCTACAAGAGAACTCTGTGTGCATGCAGTCAATCCCCTGAGAATCACACAAGTGATGGTCTAAGCCCCTAAAATAACACTATAAACAACCTATTTTTTAAAAAAATTACTTCATAGAAAACAAAATATTACCAAACCAAAGGTATCAAAATCACCAACTACTCCCCTGCAAGAGCTACATACTTAGTCTTCCAAAAGACATGTTCCATTTTAAGGCATATCTGAGAGGGCATATGTTAGAGACTAAGCTAGTTGATTAGACTTCTGGGGAACTAAAACAAACCAAATTCATTGTAAATGCAAAATCAATTATAGGCTAAAGGCTCCAGTCTAAATAAAACATTTGCCATCTCCTCCAAGTCTAACAGTGGGAGTTTCTAACCCTACCCCAATTAATAAAATCACAGAAGGCACAGACTTTCCCAATTGAATCAATCAAAAGTATAAACTAGGCACAAACAAGTCCTTAACAATTTGAGAGGAACAAATTGCTTTAATCATTGTACAAAAGCAAATGGTCCCAGACAAAAAAAAAAATCTCCTGTCTGGTTGACAGCTCAGAAACAGCTTTGGGCATTCAAAAGAGCAAGGAATTTTAGTCCCTGCAGTGGCCATCTCAAGGTTTCACTAAGCAAACCATCCACCTCTTTAGGGACTGCACATTCCCAGGCTTTCATGTGAATGCAGGATTATAGAAGACACAAGTAGTTACTAAAAATGCCTCTCAGGGATATCGGGTGTCCAACAAGGGGGAAGTGATTCCACTTAAAGAATTCCCCCACCCAAATGGTAACCAACTTTTACATAACAAACCAAAAATTCCATAGAGCCAATTCTACTCATCCAAAATGAGCTTTCCTAATGGTGATTAGATAATATGTTTGAGCTACATATAATGTTGATCACTAGGGCTATCAGGTATCTTTAAAAAAAACATACACATCAGATGTTTTAGTAATCCATGACCTCACCAAACTGGAACCACAACACCTTTGTATTTAGTATGCTTAACCACGTTTACATCGTTCAGAGAAATTTCATTCTTACCCTCTGAGCCCCAAAGCATATGCCTGCAGGACTAAGATAAACTTTAGTTGAACAAATGTAACAAATAGTTAGCAAATGATGAAGTGCTTCATTATGGGGGACGGATTAAATCTAATCAAAATAAAGGCCAGTTAATGATCAGTGCCCTTGTTAAGGTAAGAAGAGTCATAAATTTCCTCTAGTAACTTGAGGTGCTTTTTTTTTTTCTCAAGGGGTAGAGGCTGTAAGCAAAATTGATTTACCATCATCCGCCAATGGGAAAAGAAAGAAATTATCCTATTCGTTTTCTTACTTTTTGAACAAATTCATACATATTTATTGACCTTTGTGCAAAGCACAGTGCATTTTAAAAAAGAATCAGTCTTCAAAAACAGGCTACCTTAGAACAGAAGCTCCCTAAGAGACAGAAACCTGTTTTACCTTGGGGTTTTAGTGTTCTGTTTTTGGTTCGTTTTATGTGTAGTGCTTAACACTCTATATGAGTGAATTATAATATAAAGGGAGAGGGACTGGACATGAGGAACTTCAAGGTGATGACTCTTTGCCTTCCAATGCAGATTAGCACCCTCTCTGCAGCTTCTCGTCTTGGAGTTGCCTGGATCGCCTGAGACGTAGCACAAAGAGAGGCCATGTCAGGGGCATGTTTAAGGCCAGGTCTCTATTCTTCAGATGCCATGCTGCCTCTCTTTTATACTAATCTGTTCTAAATAGAAACATATGCATAAAAACAAAAACAAGAGATAGAAAACTCTCGCTTGTATGCTCCACAATGATCAATTCTTCCATCTCATGGAAAGATTTAGACTCTTCATTTCACTATCCAATATAGTCATGAAATGCTCATCTACAAAGGTACCATGCAACTGTCCCTGCTCTCCATGAAGACAGTCTAAAAAGGGGGAAAAGCACATGCTTTGACAGATTAATAATTATTGAGCTACACGAGGAACCAAATAATTCAATATACCAATGAATCTGTGATCTCATCAATGGTTACATTTGTTCAACTAATCAGCATGTACTAGCTAAGTCACCTACTAAGAACAGAATGAAAGGAATATATTACCTCCAGAAATAGTCAAACAAACAATACAGTGGGACAGTTTTATTTATACCATCTGAAATGACTGGTTAGTCATTTCATCAATTAAGAAATATTTCTCTGTATCAGTACACAAAACAACTGGTTGCAATTAGATGATATTTTCAATACACATGATTCAATTAATTGAGTAAGTAACAACTCTCCTTGTATTACCATTATGAGCCTAGCTAACAAAGAAATTTTGGGTCATTGTTCTACTTCAAGCATTTACTATGAGGTAAAATGCTACCTCCTTAAAGTAGAGCAATCAGTAAAAATTCAAATGAAAATCCCTTCGGATTTTCACTTAGGAATAAGTGTCTTTGTTCTCACTAGCGTATTTCTTTGTCAGCAAGTACCATAGCAGTGACATGAGGATAATTATTAACATTATCACGGCAGACAAGCCGTGTTACTCTTCTCTAACTTAATCTTAACAATGGCGGTAACTCCAACACGGATTGGTATGGGTCAAATTATTGGCTTATTAGTGTTTCATTATAAACCCACTTTTCACAACAACTTGAAGAAAATCTAAGTAGAAGTTAATAAAAACTGTAAATTTCAGTTAGCTAATAAATCAATATGCTTATTAACCTTTCACAATATGAAAGTAAGAAAAGAAAAATTACCTCAGTGACAGGCACATTTTCTTGCAGTTCAGTTGTATGGGATGCCAGCAATCCAATGACCCGGGCAACCTTGGCTCGTCTGTGAATTGACAAAGATTAGTTGGCCTCTGAAGGAAAAAATCTGAAAAGAAGCTTAAATATCTAAGAATTTATTAGTTGTACTGTATGAATATCAACCAGTGAGTAATACTCATCATGAATTGTATACAACTGCACTATTTGAGAGAGCCACAAAGCATCTGTGTAACACTAATGGGCAACATTTTGCCAATCTCGGTTATAAATGTTCTCTCCAGAATATGAATAACTGAAATCAAGGTGATAAAGGGGCCAGAGATCCTTATCCTTCTACGCTGACTGTTAGGCCACTTGCCTCAATCATGTCTCCTCAAAACCAATCCAAAGAAAAGTTATAAGATCAAGGGGGGGAAAATGTACTAGTTCCAAAATCTTACATTTTTTAAGTTATTATCTTTGCAAACGAATGCTATAAAAACAGTATAATCCAATTTAACTCTGCAAGCATTTATTCAGTGTCTCCTTCCTATGTACTAGGCGCTAGAGAGACAAAGACAGAAATGAGTGCTTCTCCTCACAGGAAGCTTACACTCAATCGGGGGACACGGAATGCCAATGAATAGGTATATATAAAATAAATAAAAGTTTAACTTGTGAAAGGGAAAGCACTAGTAGCTGAACTGGTGCAGTAGGGGTGAGAGTGGGGAGGATAAGGCCTTTAGGCAGAAGGTAGTACTCAGCGTCAGAGGTGAGAACGGGTGAGTTTCAAGCATGAGTGAAAGACAGAGAGAAAAAAAATTTTGGTCATTTTGGCTATACTGTGGAAGGATGGTGGGGGGCCTCAACAGAAAGGGGGGGGGCTAGGGAAGAGGGGTAGATTTGCAGGGAAAGATGAGAAACACTGTTTTAGACAAGCTGAGTTTCAGGGGCCTGGGAGGTCTTAGAGGTCCAAAAGGCGGCTGGTGAAACAAGACTGGGACTCAGGAAGCAGAATGTCTAATAAGACATTATTTCATTTATTTCATTTTATTTATTGTTTTTTACTCAGCAAACTGAACACATTCATAAAGTATTAAATGCTCAGCAAATGACTTTCAAAGCCATGTAACGGCTTCCTAACTGAGGGTTTTAGGTTTGAATAGTAAACACTGTAAGAAATACAGACAAAATTAAGTGCTCCCCTCAACAAGTACTTACCAGGGCCCAGCACGTGTTGTGAGAAATCATGATAATAGCACTTTACACTCGTGTATCACTGCACAGCTTTCAAATCACCTTCCCATATACTGTTTTTCATGATTCTAAAAAAGCCTCAAGTCATGCTCACAAGGAAAGTATTATTTAACTACATTTTTAACAAATGAGAAAATTGAGACTGAGAGGCAGTGAACTGCCCCAGTGTCTCACAACAGTTTTTGTCTGCCATTACGTAGTGTTGAGTCTTATTAAATTCATGGTCCACTAAAATCCCCAGATCTTTTTCAGATAAATTGCTAAGTATGTGTCCTCCATCTTATTCAAAGTCTATTTTTCAACCCAAGTGTAACATTTTATAACTACTCCCAGTTCACTCTACCATGCGTTGGGCCCACTCTCATGACCTCACTCTCACCTCAAACAGAGCTTCCAGCTTCAGGGCTGGGGCTCTATCCCCCTAGTGATTAACGAGTTCTTCCTGACTAGCATGGTCCCAACCTCCACCCTCATGTTGCCGTCACTTTCCTTCCTGTGCCCTAGGTGTCCCTTATAAGTCCCTCCTCTCCCCACCCCCTTCCCACTTCTAGCTTTGGGAATGGTAACCAAATTAGTACTACCCTTCCTGGAAAGGACATGCCAATCAGCTGCCCAATGGCTCCACTCAAGATCCCTGTGACCTCCCGGTGGAAAACATCCCTCCTCGGCTGCTAATCTCTGATATGTCTTGTCTTCCTTTATTACAGTGCAGTCTTCTTGAGGGCAGCAACTCTTTCTTTTGTATTTGTATTCTCAGTGTTAGCATAGTGCCTGGAACATCATGAAGGCTTATTCATCGTACGTTAAATTTCATCTGAGACAGCTTTTAAGGAGAAAAATGGAAGGAAACAAGGAATATGGAAAAGATTTGCAAAAACTGTCATAACAAACTGAGTCCCCACCACTTGGACTCTAACAGCAGAATTCCTGATGTGCTTACAAAGAAGGGAGCAATGACAAAGAAAGGAAAAGCAATGAGATTAGACTAAATGGTGAGAGAAGAGATCTATGCCTGGGCAGGGGTTGAGGAAGAAGAGGAAGGTCCCAAAAGCAATGGAAAAGTCTAGGATAAACTACAAGCTCTATCTCTCTTGAGAGCTTTCACATCACCACCCCTTGGCTCCCTCTGTGGTCCAGCCAAACTGGCCTCTTGGCTTTTTCCCAATTCTCACATCCTGTCGCCTCTGTCCAGGCCTCTGCAGAGCCCTGGAATGATCCTGACCTCTGCCCCCTGGAATCTAGGCCAGGCCCACCCCAGCTGTTACATCCCTCCACAGCCTCCAAATTACTCGGATATGTATTGTTTTCCATATTGTACCTAATGATCTGAGAACAACCTGGGCTTCCTTCCAGTAGAAGTAAGCTCCCTGAGGGCAAGGCCGGCTCAGTTTTTGCTTTCCTATCCCCAGAGCCTAGAGCAACACCTTGAACACAGACATGCTTAGTTAGGCGTACGGAAAGACTAAGTAAGTGGACAAAGGGCAGCTCCCAGAGGGGGATGGGGAGAAATCATACCCTTTACAAAAGAAGCTAATTTACTCTCAGGATTAAATTTTCATATTGAGAAAGGGCAATTTTAAACATTCTCCTTAAAAATACAAAGATATTTCTAAGAGCGGGTGCAAATCCTAAAACTGAAGACGATTTTGTGGCAGCGTCTACACCTCCCACAGCTGATACTAATGTAACAAATTATAATAGTAAGCAACAAAGGTTTGTTATAAATGTTTTAAAAGATCAAAGAGAACGTGGCGCTTCCAGAGCTTAATGTGCCGTGAATGTGCAGTCAATACAAAGTAATAAACATGATAATACAGTGAGAAATAATGCTTAAGAAAATGGAAATGTGACTTACATATCCCAATTTGGAGCTGCTCGGAGCTGCTGGATTAACAGTGGCAACTAGGATGAAAAGTCAAAAGACACATTTCATAAGACAAGATGAAGATCACGGGTGAACGGGGTCAAGTCTGACACTCAAGGATACCTCTACTTCCAGTTAAAACATAAACTTTTCCATTAAAAAAATGAGGAATTAAAGATACGTGAGTACATAATGGGGATAAATATAAAAAAAGAAATGAAGAATAAGAGAATTTCAGTTCCTTCTTATACATTAAAATTTTCTACCCACCAGAAAAACAACTGAAACAACAGTATCCTGAGAGCGAACAAACAGACGTTCTTTTAGCCCAGTACCCAAACTGATCTGATGCAATTCCCACGAGGACCTCTCAGAACAACCAGAAGAAGCTTTGGCTGACCCATAATGCCACAAGTATGACAGGACACAAACTAAGAATTATCACACCCAAACTATGTAGGGCTTTAGAAAACAAAACTCTACCTGCAAGAACACTTGATAGTTGAGGTAAAAAATAGAAACCAAAAATTAACAGAGAAAATAACTGAATTCAGCAAAGTTTCAGGATAAAAGATTAGCCCATAAAATCTTTTACATTATTGCTTAATATTAACAAAGATTTTTTGAAAAAAAGAAGCTTCTCTCACAACAACAAAAGTCATAAAATAATTTGGGAATTAACCTAACAAGGAATATACAGGAATTATATGAGAACTACAAAACTATGATGACCAAGATGGAAGAAGGCCTACATGACCACAAGGACTTTTGGTGTTGATGGATAGGTTGCATTAATATTAGAAAAAAGACAAAACTTCCCAAGAAATTTACACATTTAATATAATAACCATCAAAATACCATATATAGAACTAAATACAAATCAAAACAACCTTGTCTGGAAAAACAATGGGCAGGAATTAAGGATCACATTAAAAAGAAAAGCTGACTGATGAAGGGAGTTTGGCACCCCAAACTACAAAGAGGTTAATATCAAAGCTCTCTGGAATTAAACAAAAAAGAGAAGTTGATCAATGGAACAGAACAGATACACTCAACGTCAGGCCAAATCTTTCAAAAGATTAATGTGTGACAAACCTTTAAAAAAATAACAACTAAGGAAAGGATCAGTACTGAATTTTACTTTGGCAAAGGTAGTCGATAATTTAGTGGAAAAAGGAATGGACCTTCATGTTATACATTGACTGCAGAAAATTTCAGCTGAATGAAAAACTTAAATATTAAAAAGAACTATTGAAAAGACAGAAGAAAAATAGGATGAAGTATTTATCTCAATGGTGGAAAGGATTCTTTGTTCACTTATTTTTATTTAATTTATTCTTTTTTTTTTCAATTTAACAAGTGGAAGTAATTATTTCTAACAAAATACTAGACTACATTAGAATAAAAAATTGTCATATTAGAAAAAATATAATTAAATGAAAAATATTTGTAGGAAATATAACTAAAAGTTGACATCCAAAATATATAAGGAACTACTGAAAAGTCCCAGTTATAACTCCTAGTCTACAATGCAAAAATGTCTAACAGACATGAAGATAGTTTTTAAGAGCAAACATAAATTTTAATAATCACTTGAAAAAATGCCCAACGTCACTAACAACCAGAGCCTTTAATTAAAATGCAAATTAAAATAACTTCGAGGGGAACAGAGCCAAGATGGAGGAGTAAAGGCAGGTACTCACCTGACCTCTCCCCAATTTCCATCCAAACAACTTTAAAATAACACCTCGAAACAATTCCCGGGGCAGCGCAACCAACAAATAAACAGGATGAAACAATTTTCAGCCCAAGACCACTTAGGAGGTCTGTGTGACGGGGGTGAGACGGGCATACCATCTGGCACAGGCAGCACCCAGCAAGCCAGCAGCAGGCTTTGGGGGTGACTAAATGTACAGAGGCAGCTTCCAGAGCTCTCAGTCCACAGACCATAAGGGGATCAAACCACTAGTCAGAAGGAGATTACAGGGGACCTTTGGCTAGCACAGGGTATAAGATTCTGTTACACTGCCCACACAGACCCAGGGCATGGAGGAGGACCTGCAGGAGCAGGGACCCTGGTTATAGTCACAGGGTGGGAAAAGCGTTTGTGGTCACTCATAGACTGGAGCACAGGCCAGGACAGTACTGACCACACTGTTCCTTAGATCATACCACCTATGATAAAAGATGCTATCTACCTCCAGAGAAAGAACTGATGGAATTTCAACGCAGATGGAAGCATATATTTTTTACTTTCTTTGTTTTTCTTAGGGTTTTTTTTGTCTGTTTTCCTTTGTAATATGACTGATATGGAAATACATTTTGCATGACTACACATGTATAACCTATAGCAAATTGCTTACCTTCTCAAAGAGGAAGGCAAGAAAGGAAAAAAGAGAATTTGGAACTCAATATTTTTAAAAATAGAATATCAAAACCATTTTTATGTGTAACTGGAAAAAATACAATATTTCCAAATTAATTAATTAATTAAAGGGGGGAAAAACAATTTTGAGGTACTAGCTTAAACCTATCACACTGGCAAAATGATTAAAAGCAATGAAACTCAGTTATCATCTGGGTTGTGGAAAAACAGATGCACTCACTCATTGCTGATAGAATTGCAAATTTGTTGAATCATTTTGTCCAACAATCTGGACAAATTATATCCTTTACATCCTGAGAGTGTTATCCAAAGTGAAAAACAAAAATACAAAACAAAAACAAAACAAAAAAAGCCTAGCTATTCAAAGTTCTTGAGAGCAGTGTTATGTGTTATTGCAAAAAACAAAAAAACAAAACCGGAAGCAACCTAAGTATCTGATAATAGGGGAATGGTTTTGAAAAATCAAAAAAATGTGATACAATAATGCGATTCAGATAAAAGAGATATGGGGAATAGATCAATCTGAAAATACCTTAAAAAGCACAACTAGAAGAAGGCAATCTGTATTAAATACAATCACATGGAAAAAAAGCAAATGAGAATAAATGAACAAAGAATCCTGATGGTAACTTACAGGAAAGAGCTGAAAAGGGGCTTTGATTCTTTATGCACTGAAACTGGTGATGATAGGAGTGTTATATATGGAATATTGTATAGATGCATCTATGCATACGTACACATATGCACATAGCGAATAAACTTTGATGCTTGCTTCACTCTCTGACTGATGGTTTTTCATCAGTGACAGATTTCCACATTTCAACAGAATCCAATCAAAGTTCTGCACTACCTTCCCTTTAGTTTCTAAGGTGGACTCTTATTGCGTTGGCCCCTAAGAGATGGACAGAGGGCTTGGGCTGGGTGGCCGCGTGGCTGGGTCTCTCCCCTGCCCCAACCCCTTACCAGCTGTGAGTGCATCAGCTTCGTGGCTACCTCCTTGTGGTTGGAGATGGTGCACAGGTAGTAAAGCAGATTGAGTTTGGCCCGTGAGGCTGCTGTGCTCTTCTCGGTGGTGTCCAGCTGGCAACAGACTTGTTGTAAAAACTCATGCCAGTCTTGTTCCTTTAAAAATAATAACTTCTCGGCTGGGCAAAAAAAAAAAAACAACCCAAGGCAAACAGCTGTTTTACAAGCATACAACCTTTCATAAAGAAAAGTGATTTCATAAAAGTGAAGGAAAGTGACTGACTTTGTGTTTCACATTCTTCGCTTTTTAGAAACATTTAGAGTAAAAGCTCAACAGATTTAGCTGCATATTAGTAAGCAAAGATTAACTGGAAATATTCAGTGGCAAACAGATGAGGACCTGATAAATCAGTAACTACTATAAAAGCAAAAGTAGCCTGAGCCTCACATGGTCACAGCCCAAACCTAAAAGTATGGAGTATTCCAACGTAATAACTGTGAGACCCTGGGCAAGCTCACTTAACCTCTCTCAGCCTCAGTTTCCCAAATCTGTAAAATGAAGATAAGAGGTTGTTGAGAAGATCCAGTAAGAGATTATAAATAAAGCTCTTTACAAACTTTAAAGGAATTGATATAAATGTGAGTTATTCATACTATTATTTTAATTCTCCTTAAATGTCTCATCATGCTTTTACCTATGGATCTCCCATTCACTTCATTAGAACTACACATAAAAGAGAAGGGTAGATGTCTAAAGGACATTATCCTAGGTGGTGCAGTAGATAAAGCACTGGACCTGGAGTTGAGGAGACTTGAGTTCAAGCTCATATACCCAGGAAACTGAGGCAGACAGAGGTTAAGTGATTCGCCCAGGGTCACATAAGTAGTAATGGTTATGTGATTATAATTACATAATAATTATTATTATCCTAAAACCTAAAACAATTTTGAATACTAAGTAAAAAAAAAATCACATTCATGGCAGAACAGTTTACAGTATAAAAGAGTAAACATTCATTGGCAACACAACCAAACTTGAAATAATGACCTAGGAAATAGCTAAGAACAAAACACATCTCATTCATTCAAGAGCAATTCCAAAATTTTTTCTGTTATTTTTTCCCTTCCATTCAGAAACTCTCACTGAAAGAAAATGACAGAATAATTAAAGAGTGCATCATCATCATCCATGACACATCTAAACTGCACATGCTCCTCCCGCCTGGCACATGTTGTTGCCGCGTTGCTTGTCCTACATTTTCAAAGAGACTAATGACGTCACAGGACGACATCTTGACTCGTGTGTGAACTGGATTTAAGTGAGGCTGTTGCACAAAATCGTCAGCCTCCCTCTCTATTCCAGAGTCATCGAAGTCCAGTGGCCTGGGGTGCAGTGGATGACTTGGGCATCTTCCATGTCTGACTAAGCTCTAAGCGCTCCTTCATGGCTGTCAGAATAAACTGTTCTTATCCACCCATTCTACCAAGAGAAGTCTTTACATGCTCGGGGTAGACATACCCCTAATTCACTGAAGGGTTTCTGGCCTGTCCTTTAGCCTGGTTTAGCCTGTCTTCTGAGACAGTTTACCAGGGTGTGTGGCCACTGTGTATGCAACAGCTTCTTGGAGCCCACAGGTACCAGTTGGGTGAATCAGGTGGACACCAAAGGTGGATGAGCGGCCCTGAAAAGGTCTTGGCAAGCCCTCACACCAGAGGTGCTAGTCCTCCTTGAACAACCCATACACATCTGGTACACAGTAGGTACTTAATGCTGACCTGCTGTTTCTACGAAGGAAAGTGGGGGGCAGCTAGGTGGCACAGTGGATACAGCACCGGCCCTGATTTCAGGAAGACCTGAATTCAAATCTGGCCTCAGACACATAACACTTACTAGCTGTGTGACCCTGGGCAAGTCACTTAACCCCCATTGCCCAACCAAAAAAAAACAAACAAACAAAAAACAGAAGGAAGTGAACTGTGCTTGGAAAGTCATCAGGAGCAGCAAAAAGAGATTAGAAGCCCAGTAGCATTATTATATGGGTACAGGATGATGAAGAATGCTATCTACCTCCTGATAGAGAAGTGATGGATTATATAGGCAGAATAAGATGCATGGCTATACATAGCCAATATGGGGATCTGTTTTATTTGACTATAAATACTTATTGTTTTGTTTTCCTTTTTTCCCATTGGCAAGAATGAGAGGAGGAAAAGATAAATTCTTGATAATTTTTTTAAAAAGTTATCAAATTTTTTAAATTATTAAAATAAAAAATTGAGTACAAATACAACAGGCAGTCTGCCCATTCCCTCATTCTTGGGTAAAGACCAGAGCGCAGGCTTGGAGAGCAGTAACCACACCTCTCACAGAATAATACTTTGAAAGCACCAAAAACTTGCAGACCCCCAGAAGTAGCTCTGAAAGCAGCAGCATACAAAACACTATGTCAATTCATTCCCTAGGAGGATTGACCTTCGCCTGATTCCACAACAGGAGCAATTCTCTGCTCCATTTTGTTATTACCTTCTTGCATGAGATGGGAAATGGTCTAAGCCAGTTAGTTGGTATGATGATTAGGCTGGCTCCAAAAGGGAATTTAATTTTCTATGTATGTGCTGTTTTTCCCCAGTAATACATAATGTAGAAAGATGATCAAGCAATCAGAGTTTAGATGCATATGATCATCATTAGCAAAAGTGGAAGGATAGTTGTTCAAATAGAAAATGCTGCCACATTAAAACATATTTATTGTTTGATAGCTATCCCAGGAACATACCTGTATATGCTGGTAAATGTAGCATTTTCACATCAAATCTAATGGGTGGTTGTTTCATTATCTGTGTTTAAAAAAAAAGTTTCATTCAAAATTTTATGTGTGCTTAACATCATGCTATCAAATAGGTAAAAATGTAAAACATTCATTACAAATAAAAACAAATACTTTAAATACTGATTGAAATCACTAAGTGACAAATTTGATAAAACGTAAGCTCATTAAGGGTAGGAACGCTTCCGTTTTTGTCTCTGTATATCCAGTGCCCAAGGCTAGGCTCATACATGGCATGTGATTAACAAATGCTTGCTGATTAATTGACTGATTCAGTAACTTTTCATTAAAGACCTATGTGCAATATAACATTCTAGGCAATTTGGAAGACATAAGAACTAGCTGATGCTGTCAAGCAGGTTAAAATCTATGCCTACGGTTGAAACTGGGCTCACAGACCACAGGCTCATTTATTTAGAGGCAGAAGGGACCTCAGAGGCCCAAAATCCAACCCCCTCATTTTTCAGATGCAGAATTTGGGGCCCAGAGAGGTTCTGATTTTCTGCCACATCAAACAAGGTTATCTCTAGTGTTACAGCTTCAAGGAATCTTCTATAATTTTCAAATATACATGGGAAATGATTTGAAGGAAAAAGACAGTTACGGCAGCATCTGCTCTACCTAACCAAATGCTTTTTTTTTTAAACAATAAGAACATTGAGATCTTGTACCCTCTACATATTTCAGTCAACTGTGTTATGATAAACATGCTTTCTACTGCAGAATATGGCTTGGGAAAACCTGCCTCTTCCAGTCTAATGACAGGACAAGGCAACGAGAGATTCATGATGTCCTCAATGTTTCTTTTTTTATTCTCTTTTAAAATGTTATACAAAACACAAAAGAATTATGGTTGGTAAATAAAAATTTAACAAATTAAACAACTGTGTAATCTCATAAGGCTACACATGATGAATTTGCAAAATAATCGTACCAACAATGATTCAAAAGTCATTGTTATAGGAGTTTCTCAGAAGCGTGAAGGGAACACGCAAAGATTCTTGATGGACAAGAATAATAATCCAACATGGAGTAAGGGCTTCAAAGTTCTTTTCCTCACAACTGTCCTATGAGGAACAAGACACAACTACAACAGCAGCAGCAGCAGCAGCAACAATAATACCCACTTACAGATGAGGAAACTGAGTCTTTGAGAGGTTAAATGACTCGCTCCTGGTCACATGGCTCATAAGTGTATGTGAGACAGAACCTGAACCCACATCTCCTGATACCAATACTTTCTTTCACTCCTTCCACTAGACCAGGAGGAGGGAAGCAGGAGAGGTTTTCCAGGCGGGTGAAGAGAGGTAAGTGAAAGAGTTAATGGAATTGGAAACGGAACTTCAAAATAAAAATCTTGAAAAAATAAGGTGTAGAGAGACAGGAAAAAGAAAAGAAATGACAGGAAATGAAGTGCAGGTGAAGAAGAGAAAAAAAGATGGAAGGTAAACAAAAAAAGGCAACAAAGAGAAAGCAGAGCCTGTAGGAGCTTCACCCAGAAAGGAACAAAGACAGCACATGTGGCAGACAGTAGGTGTTCAACAAATGCCTATTAATTGACTGAGGGATGATGAAGTGAAAGATGAACAGGAAATGACTAGATCTGAGTCAGAAAAAGAGAATTCTGAGCAATGAGACTGTGATATGCAGACTTGAAAGAAGGAAATGATAAAGTTATAAAAGACAGAGGAAGGAAAAGTCACCAGCAAAATTCTAAGGGGTAAAAAATATCACAAAGTAGAGTTTTTGAAATGAAGATTAGACAAGACACTAGAAGACAGAATAGGAAACAAATCAGGCGGGGAAGAAGAGAAACGGTTAGAAGCAAAAACCAAGGAAATGGAAGAAAAGTGCAAGAGAAATGCCACCAAAAAAGCTGTTCATCCCTAGGTTAAAACATATTTTGCCCAAAAATGTACTGTAGGTTTCAGAACTCCCACAGAGATTTTTACATTTTTTCATACCTTTGGATTATCAATTATTGGGGTCACAATAAGGTCATCATCAGTATAGATGAGCTCCTTCATTCTGGATTCTATGTCCTGCTGAGATAAATATAGATTTCTCACCTGGAAAAAAGAACCAATACTCAACTACCTTTTCTTTGACAAATCATTCAAATGGTCAAGTGAATCTGTGATCTCATTGCTTTGGGAGTTCCCTCTAATTTGACAAATTAAAATTAAAATAAAAAAATAAAAAGATGTGCATAAGAATGTCACTTCAAGCAATATTATATTAATGCAAGTTTATAACAAACTAAATAATTTTTCCACATTCTGCAAACACTGTGAAGCAATGACTTCCTTCTTTGGTATCACATAATGCTAAGAAGATAAAGACCAGAGCTCTGATGGAAGTGGACCCATCCCTAATTCCACTTCAAAGGCCTATACAGAAAGCTGGATTTTCCACTGTGAGAACACTAATATAGCTCACCCAGCTAGACTTTTCTCAGTCAGCTCTTTCTCTGCTAACTTTAAGTCACAAATGAGGTTAGCACTTTCAAAATTAGCCAAAATGCTAATCCAAACACCATGAGGAAGGGAAGCTTCTGATCCTACAACAACCCCAAAAGAAAGCTACCAGAACTAGTCCTAGGAGAGACACCTGGTTTCTGGCTCCAACTTCGCCACTATCTGTGGCAAATCCCAAGTCACTTCTCCTCTCTGGTTTCAGCTCACTCTTCTTCAAATGAGGGAAGACTAAATGACCTCCAAGGTTTCTTCAAGTGCTAATATTCTATGATCACAGCACACCTAAATGTTTAAATATACTCCAGTGACCTGGAGTTTGTTTTTTTATTATTTCCTGACTTAAAATAAAGGACCTTGTCTTTGAGAACCTGCTCTGTTATTGCTTGGTTATACACTGTCTTCACTGTATAAGTGATCTTGTACGTCTCCTCACTGATTCCTCCCTGAAGAAGCAAAGGTTGTAAATCTCCTATTAGCATATGGCAAAATGGATTCAACTTCTGAATACAAGAACAATCTTCTATTGTTATGCATACTAGTGCGATTAGATATGACAACTTTTATTTCAATGATACCGAGTTGATTTAAGTAAAGTAGATCTTATTAACTCCATTTTTATATTGTTATTTTTTAAAATCCATTTCATGAGTTACTAGACTTTTAATATAAAAAAATTAATAACTTTCCATAATTGATACTCAAAACAATTATAGCTATAATTATGAAATAAAGATACAGTTAACCTATTACTTTGAAAAACACACTAGTCCATTTTTTTTCTGTGGATATTTGAATTAACTCATTAGGCTTTCACATTTGGACATTTATGAAGTAACAGTATATTTGCCAAAAGAACAAGGATTACTACTTCATTTCACAATCTGTACCAAGAAAGAATCTAACCATTGGAAACTAATACAAACAGTTCTCAAATCTTATTCCTTTGCCTACATTTTGTGTCTCTGTGGAGCAAAAACAGTTTCTTTCCCTTCTTTATTTTTTTTATTTATTTTTTTTGGGGGGCTAGGCAATGGGGTTAAGTGACTTGCCCAGGGTCACACAGCTAGTAAGTGTTCTGTGTCTGAGACCGAATTTGAACTCAGGTCCTCCTGAATCCAGGGCCAGTGCTCTATGCACTGCGCCACCTAGCTGCCCCTCTTTCCCTTCTTTAAAGCTCACCTCAGTTGAAGGAGTCTGCAGGGCTGGTTGATGGGTCACAACATCAGAATGGCCCCCCACTGCAGTGCTGGTTCTAGGAGTAGGGCGAGAACTGAAAAAGAAACACCAATCCCAACTATTGAGTCAGATTTTATAACACTGGCATTCTATTTTTAAAACAGTTCAGAACCCAAAATTCATAAAAGATCATTTTTAGGTCATTAGACTCCAACCCTAGGGCAAAGTTAATTTGTAAGCTTTATGAATGGCATATCTTTATTTGTTTCAACCTGCTGGTCTGTGTTACTAACTAGTTACACCTACTATGCGCGTGGCGCACACACACACACATACACACACACACAGAGCAAACTAAAGACAATGGGGATCAACAATTCATCAATTTCATTAGTCCAGCTTTATCCAATATGTCGCCAAGGCCTGCCACTTTACCTTTAGAACACCTTACATGTACATGCACCAGAGTAGTCACAGAATCCCAGGCTCTCTGAGAATCTCCCTACATCTCACCCAAAAAGCAGTCACCCAGCCTCTGCTTGGAGAGCTCTGGAGAGGAGGGTCCACAAGCTTCCCAAGGCAGCTGCAGCCACTTCACCCCCAAACCATGCCATTCCTCTAAACAACCCCACTTTTGAAGAGATCCCTAAGCCCAAACATGCCTCTTTGCCACTTCTGCCCACCGTTCCTACTTCTGTTCTCTAGGTACAAGCAGAACAAGTTAAATGTCTCTTTCTAACCTCAGCCCTCTCAATGCTTGAAGGACCCTCCTAACCTCTCTACTAAAACTTGTTTCTAGACTGACCTTCATGAGTTTGCTCATGTTAACCCCCGCCCCCTTCTAAAAGCCCTCAGTGGCTCCCCACTGCTTATCAAATAACATACAGAAGCCTGAGCCTCATATTCAGCATCCTCTCTGACCTGGCCCTATCCCACGATGCCAACATTATTTCACTCACCTTCACCTACACTTTGCTCAAGCAAAACTATCTGCTTCCAGCTAGCTTTGGGGCCTTTGTGAACTTTGTGCAAAGCTCAGGCCTACAGTGAATTTCCCCTCATCAGTCTCTAACTACCAACATCATTATTCTCTTTCAAGGACCAGTACACAATAGATAAGGAATGCCATGAGAAATTCTATACTTCATCTATAAAGGCCTTTCTTGATGACACCAGATAGAAGTGGTATTTCAGGACATTTGTGAGTTCTCTGTTATACACTTAGTAATTTCCTAACTCACATTGTGGAGATGCACTGGTACATCTGTAGATAGCATCATTCTCTTAATAGATTACAAACCTCTTAAAGGAAAGAACTATCTGCTGTTTTTCACCTTTGTATTGCTAGCACCTAGCACAAGGCCTTGCCCACAGCAGGTATATGTTGTGAATTAATAGGTGAATGTTTGTGAATTAAAGAATGAAGACAAAATTAAACCTCACAATACTCCTTGGCCATATAAAGAAATATAAGCCAACATATGAAAAAACCCACAACTTAGTCTTCCATGCATGGCCCAACTGCATAGAAACGCAACTTCTGCAGCCTTAAATCACTGTCTTACAAACAGGGAGAATGATTTCATTTGGCAAAAAAAAAGAAAAAAGAAAAAAAAGCATATGTTTCAATTAGCATTTGCTTATAATTTTGAAAATAAAATTAGAATCACAGGATTTAGTTCATGTATAAGCCTCCAAACCATTTTTATAATAAGAACCGTGTGGAGTACTTAGGCATCATGAGTCATACATAAGCATATTTTATTTTCCATTAAATTCTCTTCTGCTTTTTCATTTTACATACCTGAGAAGAAATATAGATTCATTCAACTGACCACTTCCAAGAGCACTCTTGGGCCGCAACTCAGCTGGATTTTCTGTGACCAGAAAGCAATCTATTATTAATACCCAAAAAGGAACAACAACAACAGAAAAATCACTAATAAAGCACACTGCTACCATTTCAAGGCCATCCTACCTCGGAAATGAGGCACAATTAAAAATAGCAACCTTAGAGGAGTTTACGCACATAAAAAATCTTACCTAATTTAAAAGACTTGTTAAATTGTTGGCTGATATTCAGCCCTGTGGTCTGTACATTCTCCTTGCTTTTCAACAGCTCTTCACACTCTTCACGTAAGGAATACTCCATGATTTTTCTGCTTGTCAACAAAAGAAACCAGTTTTTAATCCATAAGACAACTATTTGTAGAACTATCTATATAGAGAACCAGTTTGGAAAAGGACGTAAGTAGCTGCATAATCATGAGCAAAGCCCTTGTCCCATCTCTAAGCCTCAGTTTCTTCATCTGTACAATGAAAGTTTTGGTCTTGAAGAAGCCAAGGAATCTCTAAGGTCTCACATTCTATGATTCTATATGATTATACCCAATATCTTAGCAAAGTGATGAATTTAGGGGGGGAAATCCTGTTAAAGATTGTAAATGACTTAGCAGCTCTTTTTGTGGTGGCAAAAAAATTGGAAATTGAGAGGATGCCCATCAATTGGGGAACGGCTGAACAAGCTGTAGTATATGAATGTAATGGAATACAATATTGTGCTATAAGAAATGATGAACAGGCTGACTTCAGAAAAACCTGGAAAGACTTGTATGGTCTGATGCTGAGTGAAGTGAGCAGAACCAAGAGAACTTTGTACACAATTAACAGCCACGTTGTGCGATGACTAATATTGATAAACTTAACCCTTCTCAGCATTACAAGGATCTAAGACATCTCCAGAGGCCTCGCGATGGAAAATGCTGTCTGTCCACATCCAAAGAAAGAACTATGGAAGTTGAAGCGCTATCATTTTTTTTCTCTCCTGTTCAGTTTTGTTTCCTCTTTCTGATGGTTCCTCCTATTGATTTTAACTTTTACTTACAACTTCACTTTCACAATGTGAAAATATGTTTAACAGGAATGTAAATGTATAGCCTATATCAGATTGTGCACCATCTTGGGGAGGGTGGTGGGGAGGAAGGGGGAGAAAAATTTTAAACTCAAAAGCATATGGAAGTGATTGTTGATAAATCAAAATAAACTAATAAATTTTTTTTAAAAGACTGTAAATGGGGGCAGCTAGGTGGCACAGTGGATAGAGCACTGGCCCTGGAGTCAGGAGTACCTGAGTTCAAATCCAGCCTCAGATGCTTAACACTTACTAGCTGTGTGACCTTGGGCAAGTCACTTAACCCCATTGCCTAGCCAAAAAAAAAAAAAGACTGTAAATGACTTAGAGAAAGTATTTTAATTGAAGCAAGTTACTACATACATACGTGTGTATGTGTATATTTATGTGCATGGGGTTGATTGGTTGTTCATCCTTTGTTTTTGAAAAGGACAAATGATATCAAGAGGCTGATATCTTGACTTGTACATGACTTGGATTTAAGGGAGGCAGAGCTGCACAAAGTCATCAGCCTCATTCTTCCAGAGTCACGTGTGCTTATGTAGACATGGTGCTTATGTAGAGATGTTGAGATATATATGTCTATATACATACAATGCACACACATGTACACATACATACCATATACACACACAGATGTTCAGAGAATGATGGGGTGTGTGTGTATATACACACCAAATATAAAGAGAATTTGCAGAAATGTGTCCCCAAGAGCCATCATGAACAAATAGTTCTCGAAAAAAAAAGAGCCACAAACTGTAACAATATGAAAGACTACTCCAAGTCGCTAATAATGAGACAAACACAAATCAGACTGACTGAGGTTTCCCCTCATGCCCAGCAAACCGACAAAGAGGACAACAGATGGGAACTGTCAATGCTGGAGAGGCTGGGCTGAGGAAGCTTTTACATGAAGGGGTCCAACCATTCGGGAAATTAGTTTGCAATTAGGCTGAGAAAGTGATTCATGCAACCACATTGTCTAAGTTGGAGTGATTACTCCAGTATAAGTTAGGCATGTACTCCAAGGATGTCAAAAATAGGAAGATGTCATATATACCAAAATATTAATAGTGGCAATTTTGTAATAAAAAGAACTTGGGGGGAGAGTAGATAACTAACAACTGAGGAATGCTTAAATAATTTGTGTTACAAGAATGTAATGAATATGACTTCTCCATAAGAAAGGATGATTATGAAAAACGCAAAGAAGCACTGAATGACTTACAAAGTGAGGGAAGGAGAACCAGAAAAACAATCTATCCAAAGACTACAACAATTTAAATGGAAAGAATTTTTAAAAATTAAAACAAACACTGTAATTATAATAACAAGCTTGGCCTTGAAGAAGAGAGATGAGATTACAACCACTTCCCTTCATTGAAGAGGTGAAGGATTATGGATGTGAAACATTGTTTATACTACTGAGGTTATATATTAAGATAAAAATCAACACATATGGAGTATGGGTGCAGATATTCCTCCAATGATGCAGAATACAACCCAGTTTCCCTCTCTTTCTTTTGTTTAAATTTAAATGAAATCTCTTATTTTTACATCACCTTCGATATCACCTTCATTTTCCAATATTTCTCTCTCCTCCCCCACCCAAAGAGTCATCTTTTATAATAAACCTAACCAATGCATCAACTGAGTTTGATGATAGATGGGCAAATGGAGGGATAGAGAGATGACAGAAAGATAGATAAAACAGATGCCAGACCTATAAAAAAAAAACCCTCTCTACCGGTGCAGATGAGACAACTAAGAGTTACCTGGGACACTGAGAAGTGAAAAGGTTTGCCCAGAGTCCCACAGCCAGAATGGATCAGAGATGGAACTCAAACCCAGATCTTCATCATCTCAACAGCTACCATTGAATCATTATGCCATCCTGCCTCTCCTGCCAAACATATTGTATTGAACGTCATTGGATACACTCCATCCCTAACAAAGAGCCCACTCCTATACAATTAACTCGTGGTCCAGAAATCCCAATCCCTGTCTGAGACGCCATATTCTTAACCAGATGTTCTCTTCCCATGACTTCCTCTGATAAAAACACCCTTTTTACCCTAAAGTACCCATTTCTTGCAAAGGACTTTATGTTTTCTAGCAATACTTTCTGAGTTTCCTCTAGCTTTATCACTTGTCCTCTCAGAAATCATTTATTTGTATCCCCTATGGTACACTGTACATAATAGACAGTAAGTATTTGATTAAGATGATAAAGTGGCCGTTAAATCTCTTGACTACAGGTTCTAGCTAGCATCAGAAAACCAAACCACAAATGTAAATGGTATGTATGTACATGTATATGTATACATACACGTATATATGTATGTGTCAGTATGTGTGAACATCTACATTTCATTTCAATAGATCTGTGATCTCATCATTATGTATGCTTCCCTCCCAACACTGGCTCATCAGCTGTGGTCCATCATCACGTATTTCTGTCAATTCTCCATAAGAGATCTACCAATACACTAGAGGTTTTTACTCTGATTCTTTTAATATTTTTCCAATACCAATGCAGCACTTGGGCTGTCCTTCTATTGTCCCATCACTGCTAGATCCTTTCCCAGTTCAATTGAAACCCCTCGTCTCGTTCTGTGCCAGCTCCCACCGGTTCCCTCACCCTGATTCCCTGCTACAGCCTCCAGATCTACGTGGCTGCTCTCTCTACCTTCAGTCTTAACTCTGCAGACCATGGGGTCCCTTGTTCATGAAGGTATCTCTTCTCTCAAGCCTATGGCCCAGGAACCCCTGCCTTGAGGAGGAAGTAGATCTCCTGGCACATGCTCAGTTCCCCACAGTCTAAGGGAAACCAAAGCATTCCTGAAGGAAAGAAGAGATTTTTAATAGCTCCAGATTCCAATTAACCTTATCATCAATTAATTTCTTTCTTTTTAAGTGGAAAGTAAAAATCCAGGCCACAACTCCTTCCCTTCTCTCCATTTATTTAAAAATAAAAATACCAGGAGAAAATCTGTAAGCTAATAAAATAATTTTAAGATATTAAGAGCATAAGTCTCATGCTAAGTCCTATGCACTTATTGTTTAGTTTTCTCTATTGATTAATCACCTATATTGTTGATCAGAACTCTACTAAACTCATCACCTATCTTGAACCAGACAGCCTAGAAGGTGAGGCATTTATGGTTCCCTCATAAAACTATTTAATCTCCATGGAGTATAATGTATATGAAACATTTTGTAAACTTTTAAAAAGCATATAAACATCATCTATTTTGAACAAATACAGACATTAAATTTAAAATCTAAGTTTGTTGGACCAATAATTTGGTTTTGTCCTCACTGATGCTAATGGACATGGCCTCTGATGGTGAAATTAACATGCAGAACTGTTTTCTCCTTTCTCTTATAAATTCCAGTGGCAGTTAAGTTAAGTAACAATGCTCACACGCATGGAGCTCTTTTCAGTTGAACATGCATTTTCCCTCACAAACACCCTGTGAGGACAGTAGTTCAGTTACCAAATATTTTACACGCTTTGCCTCATGCTACACTTTAACACAGGGGTGGGGAGCCTGTCTCGAGGCCACATGTGGCCCTCTAGGTTCTCAAGTGCAGCCTTTAACTTCATGGAGCCTCAGGGCCACAGGTTCCCCACCCCTGCAGTCTAACATAGGAAGAATAAATGGGCACAAAGGAAGGGTTGAACGAACAAGCACTTATTAAACATTTACTAAGTGCCAGGTATTTACCAAGCATTGGAGATAAAAAAATATTTTAAAAAACAAAGCAAAACATGCAAACAAGTCCAATTCTTGCCCTTGGGGAGCTTACATTCTAATGGGACAACACAAACACAACACATGGAGTATAGCTAGACTAGAGAATGGAGATGAAGAATGGAGCCCAGCTTGGAAATGGGTCAGGGCAAGACCAGGCAGAAGCCCACCTGTGGGGCCTAAGAACAGAATGCAAGCTCTGGTGGGACGAGGTAGAATTATTATCCCCATTTTACAGATGAAGAAACCGAAGCTCACAGAAGTGGAGGAAGTCACTCAAAGTCAAACCATGCCTAGGCATTAAAGCCGAAGATTTGTCTCCAAGTTCAGCTTGCCTTCCACCATTCTACCCTTTTAAAAGTTCACAGCTCGGGGATTTTAAAGCCCTCACTGAGAAGTCCTCTCTCTCTCTGATGCTTACTTCTCCCTCTCTTGGTACAGCACCATCAATGTCCGACCTCCTGACAGAAGCCCAGCTTTGGACAAACACTACCAAGTACGTGCGAGCAGAGCCAGGTGCAAATAAAGCATTTTCTCTCTGTGTTTTTAATGAGACATGGATTATCTTTAAACATTATTCTCTGGCATGTGGCTGTCACTCAGAATGACTCAGAATGGGCCCACGGCCAAACACCAACAGCGTGGGCACAGAACACAATCTGCTTCAAATTCCTCAAACTCTCATTTTCAAGCCGATTTCTCAGGGTGATTGTTCTCTCTCAATGGCCATGGCAGAAAAGTTGGCTTCTGGCCATGCCTTGATCGCTACAGCATTCAAAGCCAACCCAGCAAAGAGAAGACTGAAGAATATACACTAAGTGAATACCACCTCTGGCATCTTGTAAAGCACTTCACATATCCTAAGGAGGGCTGCGAGGCATCTGCTGGGTGTGCAACTTGTGTCCTTTTCACTGGACTATAGAGAGTGTACCCACTAATCCCACGCAGAATCCAACCAACTCCATCAAACGTCCCATTTTGTAATCTACCCTGAAGGAAAAATCTTAATCTTTACTTTATGCATAATAAAATAACTGATCAGGAAAGAAATCTGAATACTTCTAGAGGCAGGAGGTAACAATGCTCTGTAGTGGAAAGAGCCCTCGCTGGACCTGGAGTCAGAGTCCTGATCCTGCTTTATGCCACTTCCTTAGTGAGGTGCCCAGTAAGCAAGCCTCACTGAGCCTCTGGCGACTGGAGGAAGTCAGCTTCTAAGGACTCTTCCAGCTTCAGTTCCACAGAAGAGAGAAGAAGTTGAAGAGAGGAAGGGAAGAAGGGAAAGACGCCAATTCTGCAACATGATCTTTCTTACCTTGGGGTATTACTCCCCATTCCTTAGGAACATGAACAAATGATGATCCCATCAGAGACACAATAAATGAGGGGAAATAAAGTGTACATACAGTACAGTTCTTCCAAACTTCAGGCATGCCAGCTAAGTGATCAGGCCTACTATTATGGCATGCATAATGCCAACTTCAACAGCAAACTAAACACAGGAACCCTGAAGAGGTGATCAGATGGGCTACTTCCAAATCTCTTTCCTAACATGTCTGCAGACATATAAGTGTCACATCAGCAGGTGACTTCTATCTTACAAATTTACTACCAGACTCCTATCTTACAGTTAGGAACCGTTGTGTAAGCTCTGAACCCCACAATAATATTTTCTATTTGTATAGCATTTCTAAGCACTCGTAATGCTTTCACATACATTCTCTCCTTAGATCCTGCTTGCTATCCTCTAAAGGGAGATAAGTAAGACAGAGAGCACTTCCCTCATTCTATAAATGAGCAAATGGCGACAAACAGAGGCTGAGATCTGCCCAATGCTGGAAATCAAGGTAATGACAGCCAATGTCTCCTGATTCCTAATTCGGGTTTTTTTTGCTACATCAAAAGTGTCCAGATAGACTGCAAGTGAGCAGATCTTGTGTTTCTTCTGTATCCCCCACAATGGTCGGCACAGTGACGGACACAGGGAAATACTCAGGAACTCCTTATTGAGGGCAGACTATTTTAATGTATGAGAAAAAAAAACATAAAAAATGTCATAGTGTGTGCTACAAGTGTGTATGTGTCTTATGTGTAGACAGAGATATAAATGTAGATGTAGACATATATCTACATCAATGTCTATATCTACACATATACATCATATACATTACACATGTATACATATGTGCACATATACACACAACAAAGATTTAGCTATATCTACAAACATGCTATATCTACAATCATGTGTGTGCGCATTTATGTGTGTAATGTGCACATTGTACGCATGTATCTATGTCTATATAAACATGCACGTACACATATGTGTATGATAGCTGGCTGTCTACATGTATACATATGAATGTACATTATAGATAAGAGTACGTATGTATGTGTGTATACATGCATACACACACATATAAATATACATACACATATATATACATATACATATATATACATATACTTATATACAAAAATAGCTGAGACTTCCCTATTTGCAAAGGAATATAAGTTTATATTCACATTATTGAATTAGGCAAAAATGTCACAGTATAGAGCACAATGGTGATTCCTGTATTCACAACTACACTTCACGCACAGAATTAAATTTATTAACTACCCTAAAGCAATGAACCTACCTGAAGCTGGCATCTTGGGTGTTCAGACAGTCACGGTCTTTTCTATTGAAAGCTTCCTTCCAAAACGAATGCTGTAATACACCTGCCCAAGTCAATCTGTGGAAAACAAGAGAACAAAGATTCAAACTGGTACCGAATGAAATGGATCATCCCAGAACATCTCCTAAATACTTAACACAGGTTACAAATCGTGTCATCAGTTGTAACTTCTTCAAAAGACCTGCGATTTTACCAGTGTGAACACTCATGTAGATGGCTACCCTCTCTGTCTTAGTGGGTGGATTCACAAGTTGCTGGGACCATAAAAATTTATCCCCTGATGGCCAACCTTCTAGGGAAGACCCTCAAAAGCAAAGGCACAGAGGCCATCACTGGGGCAAGACTGAAGGCCCCTCTAGCTTGGTGGATACTCCTGGAACTAGCCCTCATGACACATATCAGGGGAGAACTGCAGTGGAGGAACTTATAAATTATCTCCCCTTAAATGTAAATCTGAGATTTTAAAAAAATAAAACTTTCAATCTAATCTCTATTGAAGATGCTACACATGCTAAATAAACACCCGTGAATGATGGATAAACACTTGGAGAAAATACCCAGAAGTTTCAACTGGTACAGAAAGGGAGTTTATGAAGTGCTACAATCCCAGAGACCAAATGAGATCAGGGCTCACGGTCTGCTAGTGATCTATTCCAAGTTCAGTTTAAGATCCCAACTCAGTCTACAGAAAATAATTATAAATTAATGTGAATCATTTTTAAATTAGCAATTATGTGTCCAGGATTGGAATATTAGAAAGTATTCGTTCAAATATGTATCACCCTTCCAGGAAGTCACATGAAAGGACATATGTTTACTCCACAGCACTGGCATTGCTCAAAATGTTTTGAGATTCCCCCCTTTGGGGAATCACCTCAAGTGTGGTCTTATGACACATAACAGAGAAGTGGCCTCATTTCCTCAAGGTCACCCCTCTACTTCTGAATCCAGTTTGATTATTTACATTACTCATAAAATGTGACTCCGAAAACATTTGTTTTCACGTATGCCAGAATATTTACAGCAACATATTTCATGGTGGCATAAAACTAGAAACAAAGTTGGAGAATGGCTGAAAAAATACAGTGATAGATGAAACAACAAATGTGAAGATTCAGAGAAGCCTGGGAAAACTTGTACAAACTGATGCAGAGGGAACGAGTAGAATATGTACAACGACTATAATAATACAGGTGCAAAAATGGAAAGACAAATAAACTCTGAATGACGGCAATGGCCAAACCTGTTCCAGGAGCACAGATGATGGGGGCACATCTCCCTCCTCCCCGGAGGGATCTGTGGGGCTTCAAAGACACCTGCCATTCTTACCCCAGAGAGAATGGACTTTTCTTTATTATTATTTTGATACCTGTCATTGTAATTGGTGCCCTTAGTAATCACTGTATTTCATTCGATGCATTTAAAAACATTATTCAGGGAAGGAAGGAGTCCATAGGTTTCACCAACCTGCCAAAGGGGCTCAGGACACAAAAATGATTAAGAGCTGATGTAGAGAGAAAACTTTCAGCTCTTAGAAAAGCAGTTTGCCTTCTGAAAAAAACTGATGATGAGATTAATCCACTGCTATCTTTTACTAAGAAAAATCCTATTAATTTTATTATTTTTAATATTCTTTAAAGAATGTTGGATTAATAAGTCCACAATAGCCTTAGGCTTCATTAATAGAATCCCTCTGACAAAAGAAAATAGGATTATGAATTCTTAAACCATAACTCTACCTACTACTGAAGCTGCCTGCATACATAAAAAAATAAACAGTATTACAATGGGATAAGTTGTGCTTTGATGAGAAAAAATGACATTCTAATTATTCAGTAATAGAGTTTGTCTATGTATTGCAATAAAGCAGCTGGACTGCATAGCCCAGATATCCACTTAAATTATTCCTTTAGGATGGGAACCAGAATCATTTTAAAAGCACTTCCTCGTAGGCACAGGAGGGTCAACGCCAGAAGTCCAACAACAGCCAAACTCTCCTTTCTACAGTTTTTCTCATACGTCACAGAGCTCCATAGCGCCATCATGGAGCTCCATAATGGACTCGATTATACGATGGTTCAAATTATGTCCCCCACCTACAAAGATTCATAGCATCATAATTTTGGAGGTGGACAGAACCTTAAAATAGTATGATATAATCAATAATTAAGTGGTTCAAACCACTTATTTTCCATGTGAGAAAAGAAGGGTTCGAAGATATTCAGTGCTTTGTCCTAGGTCACACAGCAAGGCAGGGCAGAATGAGGCCTAGAGCCCAGAACTCCTGACTCCCAAGACAATGATCTTCCTGCCATTATTTATGGTAGATAACTCTCATTACAAGATGAATTTGGGTACTATCTTTATCCCTGAGCACCAACATTACAACATACTTATGTCCCCTGCCTTCTCTGTAGTTCTCTTTTGTTTTTTAGGGACTTGTTTTCTTCAGTGTATTTTTTTTTCCAATTGGCCAATTGTATTTTTGAAGGACTCTTTTACCTCTCTCATTTGACTATTAGAATCCTTCTTGAGCTCTTCTAAGAAGGCTTTTTGGGCTTCAGACCAGTTCATATTCCCTTTTGTTGTTGCAGATGTGGGTTTGTTGACAATGTTGTCCTCTTCAGAATTTCTGTCTTGATCTTCACTCTTCTCATAAGAAGAAATCTTTGGTACGTTTTATTTTTACTCATGGTGTTTCTTTATTCCCTGGCCTTTAAAGAGATTGAGCTCTCCTGCTGGGGAACGGAGGGCACTGACCCAAGCTTCTTGTGTTGGGAGCCTAAGTTTTAGTCACTAGCTTTGTGGGTTGTGGCCTCTTATGTTGGCAATTGGAGGCTGTAGAGTACTGGCAACTTACCTCATGTTGGGCTGGAATCAGCAAGGCTGGAACTTTCAGGCAATTCTAGGTTGCCTGCTTTTCCTTTCCTTTAGCTTTCTTCTTCTCCTTTTAGATGGCTGCTGCAGGATGTTTATCTTCCTGGGGCCCCTTGCAGTGTTGTCTCCCTCGTTTCTGCTAATGCACCTGGAGATTCCTTTGCGGTGGAGTGCCAAGGCTCCTGGTGGTTTTCTGAGCTGGTTTCCACTGGTTCCCCCGCCCTCACTGAGGCAGTCTGAGGTCCAAGTGTTGGTGTTTGCCTGCTCTACCACCTGGGCTTCAGGATTTCTTCACAATTGGAGGCTTCAGGGCTCCTACAGCTCACCTGGTGTTGGGTTGGAACCAGCAAAGCTGGGGCTTTAGGAAGCCTTTAGGTTGTTTTCTTCACCTCCTTTCAGATGAACGCCGCAGGGTACTTGTCTGCCCGGGGCCCCTTGTTTTTGCTGAGGCAGTGAGAGATCCGTTTGCTGGGCTGCTGCACTGCTGCTCCCTGTCTTTCTTCTAGTTCAGGTGTTCCAGGGTTTGTTTGTGTTTTCTGGGCTGACATTTTCTGGGTTGTCAGAGGTTGATAGGGGAGAGTGAGAGCGACTGCCTTTTCACTCCGCCATCTCGGCTCCCGCTGTAGTTCTGCTTTGTACTTATGGGCACTACAATTATACATGTGTTGGATCACACACATGACACGTATATACATGAAGGCAGGAACCATATTATTTTTTTAAATCACCTAACTTACTCTCTCTTCAGGCCCACCCCCACAGGAAATAATAATACTTCACTGAAGTGAAATGAATTAAAATACTTTTCAGTTAACATTTTATTGCAATACATATTTAGGTTTTCATACAGATGTGTTTTTCCCACAAAGATAGCAATCCTTTTGAAGGTTTGAACCTCAAATCAACAGTCTGACATTTATTTGGCCTGAGCTTGAGAATGAAAGGGAAATACACTACCTGGTTTCGGGAGTTTTAACTTATTCATTCCACTGGGGTCTGACATGAAACATAAAGACAAAATAATTTACTTTAAATTACTATGGCCAAAAATACCCCCCAAAAGTGAGAAAATTTACTCTCTTCTCAGAGGTAAGAAAAGATCTCAAAAAAAATCTGAAATAGTTACAGAAGAAAAATTCTGCATTAAGTACACTAGTATTGTAAACAAAAGGGAAGGTGCAAAACGTACCCCCCCCAAAAAAAAACCCATTATGATGTGGTAACAAAATACTCTACCTTTTTTGAGGCTCTTTTTGAAGTAGTCCATCAAGTAAATTAATAAATTCAGAAGATGCTTCGGGAAGAGTACTATCTATAATAAAAGCACAATTTCAGATATCAAAAAATTAAAATATAAATAAAAACATAAAGTTTAAATGAAACCCATGTCAATATTTCTAACAGGAAAAATTTAAACAGTATTTATTTACATAATGTCAATTGATTAAAATTATATCATTCCCTTTTAAAAAAAGCAAAAAGTAATAAAACATTTTACCCAAGGGCATAAAGCAATACAGTTCTTGGGCTGGGAAGAAAATTCCCAGATGAATTATTTATATTTCCCTTAACAATGTAATGATCTCTCCATTAATCAACTGCCTTACAAACATAGAGTTCTCATTACCAAGTATTTTTAACTCTTTCTTGTATTTTCTTTGACTTACTGTTTTGTACAATTAGATAAGATTCAAATATCTGTAGTCATTTACTCTAAATTTTCTTTATCTATAATATGCATAACCATTAATTCTATTCAGTCTGCACCTAGAAGGGAAACCTTCTTCTAACTAGACAGTGCAGGTGGACATCCTCCCTAGCAGTCTCAGACATCTTTGGTGAGTCTTCATTCATTTCCCGATTTTAGTCCCTGCCCATCACAAAGGGGAACAGGCAGAGGAGAGCGCACTAATTGGTGCTCAGAAAGTAAAAAGTGTTTTAATGACTCCAAGCTCTCCCCAGAATGAAAGTACATCTTCTTAAAAACAATATTCTGCCAGTGTTAAAGTCATGGTTTACTCCAATGACAAAGCGGAGGTGCATGGTGGGATGGAGCAGGCTACAATCTATATAAGTGATTAATAAGCGCATTAGAAAAGTGGCCTAAGAGATGGGTCTAGAGATGCATGACTTGGAAAGACGGAGGTTGATAATGTGGCAGAAGCAAAGGAGAAGGGATGGAGAGCCTTCAATAAGTATCCAAGGAAAGATAAGAGAGCTAGAAGAAAGCCTCTGGAATGCTGGATGGACTGCTTGCGGATGATTTATGGGAAAACAGACAACAGCTACATGTGATGAGAAGGCTGGGAGGTGCTGCAATCTGCACTGCAGGAGAGAGAACCCACACTGATGAGGTCACAGGACCATCGTGAAATGCAGTACTACAGCAGAATTTCACAAGCTGTGTTCCACCACTAAGACCAATGGTTTAGCAATGTACTCTGCATGACTCCATTAAGAAAACATCTGTAATGGTGAACAAAGACACATAACAAACCCATGTCTTTGTTGTTTTTTGTCAGCTGCACATAAATGTGTGTACTTTGTCAAGGTGTAGAGCCACTGGAAATTAGCCTATATATACATATTCACAACTGAAACATCAGTTTCTTGATGCAGAAGAGGATCATGGCATCATAAATTCACAGAGTCCAACAATCACAGAATTTCAGAGTTGGGAGGAATTACAGTTTACCAATAGTGGCCACCCAGTTCAACTAATACCTGAAAAAATAATCCCTACTATGCATACACATCAAGTGGTCAGCCTGCTTTTGCTTGAAATTTCCCATTTAGAGGGGAACTCATTACCTCCCAAGGCAGCCCACTCTCCTCCTGGATACTTCTGTTAGAAAGACTGGCCTCCCATCAAACTCTCTGCATCTCCCACCCACTGTTCCTAATGCTGTCCTCAGAAGCCAAACAGAAGCCCAATCCATTGTCCACATGGAAGTCCATTAGATACCTAAAGACAGTCATGTCTTCTCTGCAGACTGAATGACCCCAGTCCCTTTAAGTAGTGAGATCCTTTGCCATCCTGAGGATCCCCTTTTGCTCTGCAGCTCACCAGTGTCCTCCTCATTTGACAAGACCCTTGGCCTGAGCAAAGATAAGGGGCCCATCATCCTCTGAGATGAGGACCAAGGATGGGGGAAGACATCAAGGATGAGGGGAGATGAGGGAGTTAACAATGTGTGCATCTGATTTTCTCAGTAAAATAGGAGATAAGGTCAGCTGCTCAAAGAGAAGGGAAGAGCCATATCATCAGGGGTTTGAAACAGAGCTTACAGCAGAGCCAGCGAGAGGTGAAGAGGGTGGTTGGTGTGCAGCCCATTTAGGGGAGATGACACACATTAGCAGTAAGTCCTGTTGGGATACTTTCACAACTTCCCTGTGAGCAGAGTGCAGGGCAGATAGGACAGGCAAAAGGCAGGGCACTCACAGGAAGGTCAGTGAGAGGATGTGGAGGCAAGGTATTCAAGGACAGGGGGCTGTGGCCTGCTGAACTGGCTACTATCCAGGCAAGACTGTGAAAGGAGGAGGCATAGATGATAAAGCCAGAATAGGGGCAATGTATCTGAGATGAGGAAAAACAAGAGGAATTAACAATGAGGACTAAGAGAGAGTTTAGGCAGACTGAGGCAAAGGCAGAGGAAGAGATGGAAAGATAAGAGATTGTAATCAGAAAGGACAATTCCAGATCCAGATCATTAGATCTGGTAGAATTACCTCGGGGATAGCTAAGATAGAGACTGAAGTCATGAGAACTGATGAAGTAGAAAAGCAGGATGTTTGATTGGGCGTCCATGTGAACACTGGGCTGTAATGGAGAGAAAGGCTGAAACAGGTACCCCACTCCTGAAAAAAAAACGGGGGGTGGGAAATGACCTGGAACAACAAGGATCTGGAAAGGCACTAGAGACAGAGTAAGCGTCAAAGGAGCGTGTTGCCAGGGAAGGCAATGGAAGGGGCAGTGGAGTTCCTCAAGTATGCCCACTCCTCCTCCTGACCCAGCATTTCAAGGGCATAAGGGTGGAAGAATGGCAAGAAATGAAGAAAGCTAGGCTACTCTGACTGGCCCACAGAAGATAGAAAGAGAGCAAGAAGAAAAGATCCAGGATGAAGTGTATTGGTCAATGATCAAGCAGTGTTTCAAAGCCTTCAGATGGGGGAGAAGAGGAGAACAGGGCCAGGGAAGAGGTCCAGGTGCTCTTTAAACTGACAATGATGTGCAAACAGGTGGCCAAGAAAAGAGGATTTCACCTTTTTCACCAGCAGAGGGAGACTAAGCCACAGAAATTAGGGAAGCATTCTGAATTTGCAAAAGAATGTTCTTGGAGCAAAACTTTAGGTTTGCTATGCACTACCTGCTTTCCCTTTGCACAACAGCTGCCTGATACTTCTTCCCTAAAAGATTCAATTCAGTAGGGAAATGCTTTTGACTGATACTGAACAAAATGCCAAGATATAAGTTCATATACAAAAGAGAGTTAACTGGAAAGGTCTGATCAACGTGATGAAAACAGATTGTTGCCAATAATCAATCACACTGCCTTAATGGGGGTGAAGCTCTGCTTTGGATTTGGGTCACACCTCCCAGGGTGGCTGTAAACATGCCTGCTGACACCTTGTTGAGAGAACTGAGCAAGTTTCCTGGGCCTGATTACCTGTCAACCCCTTCAAACCTCAATGACATAAATGAGATATGTCAGGATTGGGGACAGATAGGCCCAAGCAATTATGAATCTGCACCATCCTTTTGTCCTGGGTCTAAAAAAGCAAGGGGAGATCAGTCAGGTAGCCAGTCACTGGGAAGAACCCTAAGAGAGCTGAGCACAGACCAGAGAACTGAAGCATGGCTAAAAGCACACACCAAGGGGCAGCAACAGGACAATGCCCAGCTCTGACATTGTCTGAAATCAGGAAGTAAGCTTCAAGAATGGAAAAAAAAATCCCATTATAAAAAGCTACAGATGCTCAAGATTAAACCCAAAAGAAGAAAATTACTCTAAAAAATCTATAGGCAAAGCCTCAAGGAAAAACATACGTGGAGCACAAGCTCACTTGGAATTTCTGGAACAGCTACAGCAAGAGTTTTTTTTTTTGTTAAAAGTTTTAAGACATTTTTACAAATGAAATGAAATGAGAAAATGAAAAAGAAATCAGATGTATGGAAGAAAGAACTGGAAAAGGAATAACATGACAGCTTGACACAAGAAACATAAAATCTTACCTCAGCAATATATTCACTGATATTAAAATAGATCAAACAGAAGCCAATGACTCCATAAGATAATAAGGGTAAACCCAACCCCCTATCACCAGGAGCTATAATAATAATTCATTACAGTTGCATGTGGTCTTAACCATGGAGAAGGTGAAGCTATATGACCCAGCCTCCTAGAAAGAGGAAAGTGAGCTAACTCAACAGGATTAGGTTGCTAGTGTTCTGGAACTCAGCCTCATAATGAGAGAAGGAGGCACTGGAAACAAAGGAGAAGGAGGGACAATGCAGCCTCTCGGAAACAAGAGAATCATTTACATGGCCCAACAGCTAGAAGAGCAAAAAGAGACAATGAAGACCATGAAGAGAAAAAAACCTGAACTCTGGCTTCCCCACTGCCGTGAGTTATCCACATGGTGCCAGTCTGATGCAAAGAGAAATGCCTCCTCTCCAGCAACCCCAAGTTCAATTCCCTTCCCAAGACAGACCATACCAGAAAAAGGCACTAAGAGTCTGAGGCACTGTACAGGACCTAAGCGGGAAGTCAGAATTGACTACAGGGGGAGTGCAACTGCATTCTTTATTTATGGGCTAATTGAGTAAGGAAAACTGTTACTCTGAATGTTTTTTTACCCAAATATAATTCAATCCAATTAAATTTTTGACCCATATATAATTCAATTCAATTCAATACGCTTACTAAACACCAACTACGTATGAGACACTGTGATGGTCATATGAAGACAAACATGAGACAATCTATCCTACAAGGGCTTTTAATCAATGATCCTATATAAACACAATCTGCTACAGAAACACAGCTGTGAAGAACTAGGCAATATTTGGAGGTTCCCAGAGAAAATTGGGAACAAAATTAGTGAAAAAGATATGATCTGGGGAATAGCTCCCCAAGACTGAATTTGATCTATATTAGTCCAGAGTTTCGAGTGCTGGGCAGGGGTGTTGGAAGGTTTCTGACTCAGATTTCACTGATGTATAGACCTTCTTGTGAACAAACCCCCTCTACCAATGTAGAGCAACACTTGTTCTGAAATTAACAGGCTAAGAAACTTGCCTGGGGCATTTCTAGTTGTCAAACTCAGGCTTCTTAATTTAAAACCCTGCAGTGTTCCATATACCATCACACAGACCTTACAGAAAAAGCTTCATGTCACTACCTTGATTTTGCACAGCATCATGTGCAAGTAGACCCTTGGCATACACCAGCTGATGGTAATGATGATTAAATCACAAGAAAGAACCCTCAGCACATCAAGTAAGAATAAGGCTGCAATATACATAAGTCTATATTGAACAATCTATGAGCCTGACAAATGTAATCAGTGACTTTTCCAGGGTCACAAAGTCAGTATATGTCAGAGATGGGACTTAAATCCTGGTCTTCCTGACCCTGGGCCTGGCTTTCTATTTAATATGCCACACCACATTTCATGAGCTTTAACTAAGCCATAGAATACAACTGCAAAAAGAGAGCCGTAATTAATTTTTTAATTCACATCTATAAATATATTTAAGCTGAGCCACAAATGAAAGTAAGCCTCCCTCCACAAAACGGATCTAAGAAACGCACAAAAGGGATTAGTATGCCAACAAATGGGCATCCTCACTGTCTCTGAGTATATCACAAAAGGAACAGATGAGATGACCAGGGGGCTTGTAGGCTTCCTCAAGGTCAACAGGCACAGATACCTTTGGCTTTGCATTCCCAAGATGTAGGCTGAAAAGATTCATAATGGTTTGGTTATCAGAGACATCCTGAAATCCTCTCAATCCAGAAACTGAATCTTTGGATCATTCAAGAACTGTCCAGACCTGGGCTGAGATATCAACAAAGCATAACAACAGGACAAAAAAATGGCAGTGCTTTACAAAGAATACCCAGGAGACCTCCAATGCCAGCTTCTCCCCAACCAACTGGGTACAGACAGCTCAATGATCTGACTGATGACCAGGAGGCATCCAATGCAGCATTTTAACATCTATGATTGCCCCTTCATTTCTAGTTGTCAAACTCAGGCTTCTTAATTTAAAATCCTGCAGTGTTCCATATACCATCACACACCTTACAGAAAAAGCTTCATGTCACTACCTTGATTTTGCACAGCATCATGTGCAAGTACACCCTTGGCATACACCAGCTGATGGTAACGATGATTAAATCACAAGAAAGAACCCTCAGCACATCAAGGAAAAATAAGGCTGCAACATACATAAGTCTATATTGAACAATCTATGAGCCTGACAAATTCCCTCATTTGCCACTGTTCTAATTCAGCTTGGAAATGCTTACACTAGTATTGAACACAGATCACAGAAATGTCTTAGATAATATATCAATGTTAAAACTAACACTTTAAACATCACTTTGGTTATAAGAACATCAAATATTTTCTGCAGTTTTCAGTCAATGGCAAAAACCTACTAGTTATACTATTAAAATAAACTTTTCCTATTTTACTACCTTGGCATATTAAAGAGACTTGTAATTCTCCCCAAGGATTCCAGAAAATATACTGAATAAAAAGGTACTACAGTGAAAATAAGTTTATTTTTAAAATTGTGAAACCAAGTAAGAATTAGGATGAACGTATAAGAAGCACAGAAATAGTAAGTAAGCACATGTAACACAAAATAATTTACCTTTTGGTGTAGGTGGCAAAAGATCTTGATATAAAATCTGTTCAACTAAGTCAGAAAAGCTTTCTGAGAAGAAGGGTGGTCTTCCTAAAAATGACAAATTCATTTGTAAAATTAATTAATATTTTGGTATCAACAAACTTTCCAAAACCAATCTTAAACTGGAATTATTTGTAATAGAACTACCCAATATATGTTGAGATGGAGACCAATATTTTTACTTTAAAAGTACAATGTCCAAAATAAGATAAGTGATAGTGTCATTGTACTCTTCCCATTCGATTATAAACTGCTTGAGGGAAAGAACCATCTTGTTCGTTGAAACTTAGATTTGTATCCTCAGAGCTTAGCACAGTACCTGGCACACAGTAGGTGCTTAATAAATATTTACTGACTGCCTGCCTGCCCTGATTAGACCACTTCTAATGTTCCCCATCACCTTCTGGGGGCCACATTTTAAGATGGATATCAATAAGCTGAAGCTCATCACATAAAGGGCATCCACCATAACGGGAGAACTGGAATCCACACAAGGATCAGGGGAAGAAATCGGAGAAGCTCAGTTTCTCTCTAACAGGAAAATAGCTGTTATTATTAAATTTTTCTATTTCAAAATGTATTTTCTAAAAAAAAGTATAAATTCCCCCCATGGGTCAAAAATTTCATTATCTGCAAGCCACATATACCATGGACTACAACTAGACTACAATGAGATGCAGACAGTAAGTTTACATGGTTGCAAATAACTCTACCTGCTTTTAATAAATATATGCAATTCACTCTCCCTGATAAACAGCTATATGATATAATTGGGGAATATGGAGGAGAAGATATAGATTTGTGATTTCATTCAGTTGTCTGTATCTTATAGTCTTGGAGAGTCGCCTGAGGCACTGAGGTTAAAAGACTTTTCCCATGGATACTCAGCAAATGTATCCCAGAGGACAGGAGAGGAAGTGAAGGAAAGGCAGGGGAGGAGAGTGTGAGGGGGAAAAAGAAAAGGAAGAAAGGGAGAAAAAGGGGGAGGGTGATAGGGAGAGGTAGGGGGGTAAGAGAGAGGGAGAAGAAGGAAGAGAAAAAAACAGAGGGAAAGAGGGAGAGGGCAGGGGGACAGGAGCAGGAAAAGAAGGTGCAGGAGGGGAAAGAAGAGGAGGAGGAAAAAGAGAAAGGTAGAAAGAAAAGAAAAAAGGAAGGAGAGAATGAGGATGAGGAAGAAGGAGAGGAGGAAGGAGAACCTCTAAATGCACTTGTACACACTAAACTATTCTAGCAATTTAATCAAATTAAAGTAGTTCAAATAAAAAGTCAGTAAAACCAACTATTACCTTAAATAACAGGTTTTATGAAATCATCTCTCAACTTCGCAGCCCCTCAACAAAAAACATTATGAATATTCATGAGGTATGTACTAGTTATCTTAAGTTAGAAATGTAAAGAAAAATGTAAAAGAAAAATGAATTACCTGAGAACATTTCATAGAGTAGACAACCCAAAGACCACAGATCACTCTCTATGGAGAAGTCCATGCCCTTCATAACTTCCGGGGCAGTGTAGATGGGAGAGCCTAAGGTCCAAGTACAAAGAGCAACACAATAATATCAAACACAGACTTTCCTGTGAGTCCCAAAGTAATTTATTTGGCAGACGATGAGATTAATAAAAAGTGAACAAAGGAGACAAATGAATAATGAAGCCTTAACTGTTCCATCAAAGAAATCTAATGTTACTTACATTTATTCTAATTGGAAAGTTTGATTTTTTTAAAAAATAATTATAAAACAGACTTTGAGATTGCTGTATGTAATTAAAGGGTACGACACATTTAGATATATCCTTTCTTAAGCTAATAACATAATGTCAAAACAACAAAATCTAAAATTATACCTACAGGCACCTCAATAGAATACATACGTTCATTTTCTCTAGGAAGCATGCAATAAAACTACTTTTGGGGAGGAAATCCAAACAGCATCAATAAACTTCTAGCACATTTTATCATTAGTGACCCTTCTGGCCAAACCTGACCTTCCAAAGCCAGAGAGAGAGCAAGAAAACCATTTTCTCTGCTTCCTGGTTCTGAAGTTCTATTCTATCTGACACTTTTTGCACAGCTGACCCTGAATCACATGAACATCATTGAAATTTCTTAAGGACGTCATATAAATCATTATACAAACTCAAATGGTATTTGGTCATTGGTCCAGGAAGACCAAAAAATAAACACTATACTAAGTTACAAAAAGAACAATTTTTACCAAGTAATTTATGTATGTTTTCTTTCTCCACTTCCTATCTATCCAGATGTTCATTAAAGGTTTACTGCTGCAGCTGAAATAAGACAATAAATCTGTCCTTCCAAATTATAATTGCTGCATTTACTGGCCTCACTGTTGCCATTATAATTCTTTCATAAGGGAGATGGCATATAATGGAAGTATCTAAACCCCACCACATTTTTCTGAAACAATTACTTAGGTACATATGTTTCCTTAGGAAAATGAGAATTTGACAGATAATTACACTCTATAAAAATGTAAATAAGCCTATCAAATCAAAACACACCGGAGACTAAGGAAAGTTTTAAGAAACCCTTGCAAAGACTTTCCTTATGTTCAATGGAATAAATACATATATTAAATCCTCAATGTATTATTATACAGTAAAACCTCATTTTTAGACAAATTGTTTCTATGAAAAAGCCTATGAAGAAAATAAGTGACTAAAAACATCTAAAACACTTTAATGTTACTTTGAATTTTAACAGCTTAATGGTATTCAAACTAATAATATAGAAAAAAGAAAATACTGGGGTGCTTTAACATCCATCATTACTCAAACAAGTTTCAATAAAATTCTTATAGTAATTTAGCAAATTCTATTATTTAAAATTTTTGTTAAAAAATCTTAAGAAATTATTTTTATCCCAACACACTCCACTGAAATGGAATTTTATTGAGGACATGAATAAAGTGTCTAACTTAGGTTCTTTCCATATATTTCCTCTATCCAAAAAATAATCACTTTCTTGTTTGTACCTGCAGGCCTTTGGTGGACAAAGGTGCAAGGTAGTGAGGACCTGAACTAGGTCGGTGTGTCTGTGAATGCAGAAAAAGGGATATATGTGAGATATTTTGTTAAAGCAGAAACAACAAGATTTGTCACTGATATGTGTAATCAGAATGGAGTCAAGAATAACACCACAGTTGTGGGCCTAGGAATCCTGCGAGAATGATTGTACCCTCAACAATAATAGGGAAGTCTGGAAGAAGGATTGGGGAAAAAGATAATGAGTTCTATTTTAGACATAACAGGTTTGCGATACCTATGAAACATCTAGTTTGATACATCCAGAAGCAGTTGGTAATAAGGAGCTGTAGCTCAGGAGGGAGATGAGGGCTGGATATATAGATCTGGGGATCATCTGAATAGAAAGGATGATAACTGAACCCACGGGACCTAATTGGATCACCAAGTGAGAGAGTAGAGAGGGAAAAAGAAAAGAGGTCCTAGGGCAGAGCCTTGGGCAGACAGTCATGGTTAGTGGACATGTCCTGGATGAAGAACCAGCAAAGGAAAATCAGAAAGACTGGTCAACAGGTAGAAGAATCAGGAGCAAGCAGCATCTCACAAATCTCAACAGGAGAGAGTATCCAGGTGAGGAGGGTTACCGACTGATAGGGTCAAATGCTTCAGAAGGACCAGGGCTCAGACAAGGCCATTCGTTCTGGAAATTAAGAAAGATCACTGATAACTTTGGGAAGAGTGTTTTCAATTGAAAGATGAGGCTGGAAAACAGACTGGAAAGAGTTCAGAAGGAAATAGGAGAGGAGGAAGTGCACCAAGTACAGATGACTTTCTGGGAATGAAGGTAAGAAGAAATACAGGACAACAGCTAGTGGGGATGGTGGGGATGGTAGGATCAAATTTTGGGGTTTTTTTAAAGATAGGGGAAATGTGTGAAAAGGAAAAGAAAATGAGGAAGACACAGCTAAGTTTAGAAAGGCAGGAACAGAGGGAATGGGGAGGGAAAATGTTATTTGTTGGTCTTAAGCGATATCAACGGACACAACGTTAGAAAGTCTGCCAGAACTGGATGAAATCACTCTGATGGCTCGATGTAGTCCACCGCCCCCAAAGCTTCCTAGGCCTGATATACTATTATATCCAATATGAAGACCGTAGCTAGTAAATTCAATGTCTAGTGGACAAAATCACACTTTTAAGTCAACTAGGCTAGTCCTGAAAGTTTGTAATGAAAGCTTAAAAAAAGCTTAAACTGACAAAACAACAAAAATATTTTAAAACAAAAAAAGATAATTTTAGGAGCCTATCCGTGGTGTTCATTGTTTGGCAATTTCTATAGACAACATACCTTTGACTCTACTTCTCATACATCTTCTCTGTATGTTCTCACCATCACCTCCACCTTCTTCTGATGCCACCAAAGCAAAGAACTCTTCCAAATTTTCACCTTCTGCTTTGGCCAGGCTAAAATTACTATATTTCAATGTGCCAGGTCCTTCCAAGAGGATCTATGGAGATTTAGAAATACAAACGTGAAAAGAAATCTAATTCTACCAGAACTTCCTCTATAAATATTCTACCTCACTCAAGGAATGAAAGTTTATTCTAATTAATTTAAATTTGTATCACTGCTATACTGACTTTCCAAATAAGTATATAGGAGAGGCACTTAAGATATTTCCACTTAAGATATTTTCAGCATTTACTTTGCAACTTTAACACAATGTTAAAAACTAAATAATTACATTAAAACTACTCCAAAATGAAAAAAAAAAGAAAACCAGAGGCAGAGTGGAATGAATCCAGTAGTTTTTAAAACTCAGTACAAAAAGATTAACTATTCAAATGTCTCGTTTCACTGGAAGCTACAGCAGCAAAGAGGAAAGTAATTCTCAGGTTTTCTTAGGGATGGACTAAGGCCTCACTGCCACCTTGCCCACGTGAGCAGCAGGGACACATGCTCTTATCCATGACACCAGGCATCACTTTCTTGTACATCCCAGAGCTAACATACAAAAACTGACTCAGTAAAGTCACTAGAACCAGGAACAACATTGACGAAGTGTCCATCATGCACACAGAAGCTCACAGTGCTGGTGCCTCACACATATTCAAATTATGGGCATATTAAAATTTGCATCGATATACTGGCATGCTATGCCTACTTAAAGAATTCCCTCTCAGTTACAAAGCCAGACATGATCACACTTTAAATATTTTGTGTTCTCTATGGCAGCTAAAGAACGTCCAGATCAGGGAATTTTTGTTGTTGCTGAGCTGTTTCAGTCGTGTCTGACTCTTCCTGACCCCATTTGGGGTCTTCTTGGCAGAGATACTAGAGTGGTTTGCCATTTCATTCTTCAGCCAATTTTACAGATGAGAAAAACTGAGGCAAACAGGATTAAGTGACTTGTCCAGGGTCACATCACTAGTAAATGTCTGTGGTCAGATTTGAACACAGGAAGCCTCATCTTCCTGACTCCAGGCCTGGTACTCTATCTACTGTGCCACCTAGCTGCCTAATTCAGGGAATAAGAATCTCCAAATTAATCAATTAGGATTCCTTTTATATTTCAAAATAAAAGGGTTAGCAGACATAGGAACTTATATTTAATACCTCAAAAAAGGATTTTAAACATCTAGGGAAGTGCTTTGCCTACAGTTGGCACTCAAATAGTTACTGAACAGATAAGCCTGCATATTTGCCACAATACAAAATATCTGTTAAACTCAGCTATTCGTGGGGACTAATAATTTCGTGATGGGTATCATTTGTTTTCACTAAGGTGATCTCTTTAGACAATAAAAATATAAATAGGACTTTAAAATTGCAAATGTGTTACTCTTCTTCCCTGGGGTGGCTGCTGTAGCCAATAAAAGGCTTATAGTTTTAAACTTGAACATATATTTCACAATTCAAGGGGCCCAAGATTCTGATAACAGACCTATTCAAGTGAGAGTATCCATCGGGCTCTCCATCACCCAATAAAAACATTCCAAGTTTCATAAAAAGCACCCCAAGATATCCTAGCTCTTTCTTTAAAACATTCACCAAGGCTTTAAATGACAAATTATCAATTACCAACTCCTTTGAAGATAACTCCCTAATGCCTTTTTAATCTGAGTTCAATTCTTATCAGTCACTTAGCAATGAATATTTATCTACTGTACAAGGCAAATCTCTGCCTCGGTACCTGCATACATACAAATGTTATCTAGTGACTGGTTATCCAGATTTCACTGTTCTAAATCAAGGTTTTTACTGCACTGGAAATCACTTTGATCTTGTATATAAATGGATTTTTTGTCTGCTCACAAGATTGTGAAAATTAGAATATTCATAATCTTCATTTGTTGATGTGCTAATTCCAACGTGGAATTAAACAGTGTATTCTTTACAACAAATATGTTTTATATAGACAGAAACTGCTGAGGGAGCCAAAATGGCAGATTAGGGGCAGCCTCCCAGCCAGGCTCTCCCAACATTGCTCTCCAAACAACTTTAAAATAATGCCCCAGATCAAATTTTGGAGAGGTAGAGCCAACAAAAAGTTGGGGTAAGATGTTTTGCTGGCCTAAGAAAACTTAGGAGGCTGCAGATGAAGTCTGCAAAACAGAGGTGGAAGTCTGGCAGAGATATGTCTGGAGTCCATATACACAGGAGCAGCGGCAGCCTCAGTGTTGGGACCTCTCAGCCTAGAGATGGCAGGGTGGTTGGATAACTCAGAAAGATAGCACAGGGGACCCTTTTGTAGCACTGAGTACAGCTGGAGCTGACTAGCAACTCTACTGCCCATATGCAGTTCTGGGTCACAGTTCCAGGGTGGAGAGAAGCATTGGAGGGTCAGTTACAAGGGAGCAGGGGCCCTAGACACAGTACCAAAGCAGAGAGGACTGCTAGTGCATGCATCTGCAGGAAACCCGGGGCCCTTCTTTAGTAAAGACCAGAGCACAGACCAGGAGAACAATGACCAAATCTCTTCCAGGATCCCCCCACCTTGGAAGCACCAAAAACTTGCAAAGCCCCAGAACTAGCTCTCAAAATAGCACAAAAAAGCCTGAAGCTTAGGACAGCGCCTCTCCACCCCTGGGTGAGCAGAGCCCAAGTTTAACATAAAGTTTAAAGTCAAGAAATAGCTGGAAAAATGAGTAGACAGGGGCAGCTAGGTGGCACAGTGGATAGAGCACCAGCCCTGGAGTCAGGAGGACCTGAGTTCAAATCAGTTTCAGATCAGACACTTGACACGTACTAGCTGTGTGACCCTGGGCAAGTCACTTAACCCCAATTGTCTTGCCAAAAAAAAAAAGAAAAATGAGCAGACAACAACCACCAAAAAAAAAAGAATTTGACCATATAAAGCTACTATGGTGGCAGGAAAGACCAAGACATAAACTCAGAAGACAATAATGCAAAAATAACTACCAAGGAAGACAGCAGAATGAGAGAGGAAATACCAACTCTCCAAATTTCTCCCACAAACAAGACAAAACATCTGCTCAGCGTGAACTTTGAGCAGCAGAAATCATTAGAAGTAGGGGTAAAGCAGTCACTCTCCTAAGACAACTAGGGAGGACCTCAGGAAAGACCCCACCTCCAGGGGCAGAGGTTCGGCCTACCTGAAGTACAAACACCTCCAGGAGGCTCTGGGAGCTGGGCCAGGAGGAGCAGCCTCAGCTTGAAGAACGTGTACCTCACAGACAGTCTGGGGGTCAAACAGTGGATCAGGGGAAAGTTAAAGGACCCTCTGCTGTCATGGGAAGCCAGGCCCAGTTGTGCTGACCCAACTCAGTGATGGGCTGTGGCTGTGAGTGAGGAGGAATGAGCTCACACCCAAGTGAGTGCAGCTCCCAGGTGCCCAATTCTAGTTTTTAAGGAATTATTTTCTTCAGTGAGCTTTTGTACCTTCCATCCTACCCCACCCCATCCCACCCTAGAGAAATATGCGTGTGTGTGTGTGTGTGTGTGTGTGTGTGTGTGTATAAAACCATGCTATACATACTTCTATTTATCAGTTCTTTCTCTGGAGATAAATAGCATCTTCTTTCATAGGTCCTTTGTAGTTGATTTGAGTATTTACAATACTAAAAATGACTTAGTCATTCAAAGTTGTTCTTAGAGAACAAGATTGCTGGTACTGTCTAAAACATTCTCTTTGTTCTGCTCACTTCACTTTGCATCAGTTCATATATGTCTTCCCAAGCTTTTCCAAAACCAACCAGCCTATCATTTCTTATAGCACGGTAGTATTCCATCACAATCATATACCACAACCTATTCAGTCATTTCCCAATTAATGGGCATCCTCTCAATTTCCAGTTCTTTGCCACCACAAAGAGAGCTGCTATAAATATTTTAAAACATGTAAGTCCTTTTCCTTTTTCCCTAACTGCCTCCCAAGCTCACATTAGTCTGATAAGCCACAGGCACATTATACTTTGACTCCAACATAGTGATGTCATTTTGGTCCTCTTCCAGAATGGACAACCAACCAGCTTATGTTGACAAAGGTTGAAAATGGCTTACTTTGGAAAGAAATAATAACTCTGACCAATAACATGCTCAACTCCTCTTAGTATACCATAGGTAATAACAGACACATAATTTCACTTTACCCCTAAAAAAAGTGCTATACAACAGACACCAGTACTTTAGTAGCTAAAATTCTCTTCTTTTATTGAATGATTAAGCCAATCATTTATGTCCTAATTTAAAAGTGACAATAAGTGATAAACCCAAAGATCCTAGCAACTGAAGCAAGAATCCACTATTTGATAAAAACTGCTGGGAAAACTGGAAAGCAATCTGGGAGAAACTAGGTACAGACTGACATCTCACACCACATTCCAACATAAGCTCAAAAACACCCTTTAAATATAAAGGGTAATGAAAGCAAATTAGAGGAGCAGGGAAGAAATTACCTATCATATGTATGGATGGGGAAAAGTCCAAGACCAAATAAAAGACAGAGAGGTTTACAGGAGGTAAGATAGATAATTTTGATCACATCAAATTTAAAAGGTTTTGTGGAAACAAAACCAACAGAGTCAAAATTAGAAGTAGAAAATTGTGGGAAAAAATCTTTGTAGTAAGTTTCTCTGATAAGGTCTCATTTCTCAAATATATAGGGAACTGAGCTAAATTTATAAGAATAATGGCCATTCACCACTTGATAGTCAAGGGATTTGAACAGGCAGTTTTCAGAAGACGATATCAAAGCTATCAAAAGTCATATAAAAATGCTCTAAATCACTAATGATTAGAGAAATGCAAATTAAAACAGCTCTGAGGTGCCATCTCACACCTAGTAGATTGGCTACGATGACAGGAAAAGAAAATGACAATGCTAGAGGGAATGTGGGAAAACAGGTACATGAATGAACTGACGGAATCATGAACCAGTGCAACCATTGTGGAGAACAATTTTGAACTATACCCAAAAGGCTATAAAACTACACACCCTTCGACCCAGCAGTACTACAAGAAATCAAAGAAAAAGGAAAAGGACCCATACGTACAAAAATATTCATAGCAGATCTTTCATAGTGGCAAAGAAATGGAAATTGAGGGGATTCCCATCAACTAGGGAATGTCTGAACAAGTTGTGGTATATGAATATGATGGGATACTATTGTGTTATAAGAAATGATAAAATGGATGGTTTCAGAACAAATCTGATAAAACTTATATGAACTGATGCAAAGTGAAATGGGCAGAACCACAAGAACAATTTATACAGTAACAGCAATATTGTAAAGATAACCAACTGTGAAGGATTTGGTAACTTTGATGAATATTCTGATCTACCACAATCCCAAAGATCTCACAATGAAAAATGCTATTCACCTCCAGAACGAGAACTTATGGACTCTGAATGTAGATTTAAACATATTTTTTCCTTTTTATTTTTCTTGTTTGTTTGGGTTTTTTTTCCCAGAACATGGCTAATACAAAAATATGTTTTGTATGACTTCATATGTATAATGGGTATTGCAGTTCTTGCCTTGTCAATAGTCGGCAGGGGAGGGGAAAGAATCTGAAACTGAAAATAAAAATAAAATTTAAATTTAAAAAAAGTTGCAAGTAATGTTACTCAAGGATCTCTGAAAGGAAAGATTTCCTTCAGGTTTTAATAGCAATCTGAATGGGAAGCTAATAATATACAGCACTGTATTTAATTTTAGATTACTTTAATCCAAAGGAATTTTAAAATATTCTATGATTTTTCCCCATCCTACTATATTCTACAGCCTATATTTTGCTATATCCTACAGCAATGACTTAAGGTACCGAACTTTAGCCTAAATTAACAAAATACCTTTGAGAGATGATTAGACCGTACATATTAACTCAAAAGCATAACGTAGCCAATGATTCAATTACCTTCCCAGGAGAAAGATCACAGAAGAGAATTCCAAGTTTATGAAGATGATGTAACCCGGTCACCAAGTCGAGCCCAAATTCTCTCACTGCATCTTCAGGCAGGTGTTCATCTTGAGCAATGACCAGTTCTAAGGAACCACCTACAATAAACGCATAAGGATCATCTCTACTAAATAATCAAGCAGAATGAAAGAACAATGACTTTTACTTGTGGCTCTCAATGCAGTTCACATAGAAAAAAATGGCTACAAAAATTAGACACAAAATAGTAAACAATGTGTACATATTAATACACTACATTAAAACTATGTGATAAAAATGCATTTATATTATTTCAAAGTGTTAAGATATGGAGTGATAAAAAGTCATCTTTCCCTATTGGAACCACAAGAGTAATCCATAAATGTAGAACCTCTGTAGCTAATAAATATGACGAGCCTCCACAATGAAGAATTGTTGAGGAGGGGCTCAGTCACCCACTAGTACTGAGGAGCTGGGATTCTTTTATCTATAGTACTGTGCTCTAAAGAAGGGGTTCTTAAGCTGGGGACCAGGGACCCCTGGAGGTAAAGGATAAATAAACTTAGATGAGAAAAAAAAATTACATCTTTATTTCAATGTAATTGATATCTTTTGTAATGCTATGCATTTTGTTTTGTTTTGTTTTTTTAGGCAATTGGGGTCAAGTGACTTGCCCAGGGTCACACAGCTAGTAAGTGTCAAGTGTTTGGTGTGAGGCCAGATTTGAACTCAGGTCCTCCTGACTTCAGGGCCGATGCTCTATCCACTGTGCCACCTAGCTGCCCCCATTTTGTTTTAAAGATTGAAAAACATTATCCTAACAAAAGGTCCATAGGCTTTGCCATACTGTCAAAGGGGTTCATGCTACAAAAATGGCTAAGAACTCCTGTTCAACAGCAATGGTTTCCAAACAGTGAGCCAAAGTCCAGGAAAGCTACCCCTACACTCCCCAAGAGGGTGGTCGGTGTAAATTGGGTGGACACAACTGCAAAGACCCAGCATCCTCCATATACGTGCCTCAGAAGGTAGAGGACTTATTGGTAGGAAACGACTAAACAAGAGTGGCACAGGACAGGTAAGGATGGATGCATGGGATCTGCACCACTGGAGGGAATACCTTGGTCAATAAAATCACAGATCCATTTAAGTTTTTGAGTAATACCAGCCATGATTTTTTTCCCCAAGCTGGTGAGTTATCTGCCTTTCTTTTAAGATCTTTAGAGAATCAATCCCTTTAATCTCCTAAACACTGCCACAAGCACAGACCTTTCATGAGCTTTATCTTTGTCTTGCCCAGCTGTTTTCAACATCTATGCTTTCTGCAGTGTCACTGCCACTTCCTGGGGTAGTACATGAAGTACAGCCCTGATCAAGTGCAATATATGCAGTGGCCATCCTCCATGAAAGAGTCAAGCACCTCCTTGTCTGGAGCAAAGGCAGCTTCCCGGCTCTTTTGGTTTCACTGTGGTGAATGAGCTCCATTGGTTAAAGTTCCATAGGAAATCCTAACCATCTATGCTGATATCCATTCCTCTATCCATTGCCTGTTTATCAGCGTTAATCAATTGTTTAAACAGGTCGGATTAGAGCTCAATTAACTTCAAATCATATCTAGTTCAACTTTAAGAAACGAATTTCATTTCTTATCTTTCATCTTTATCTTTCTAATTTGGTGTTGTCTTAATCTTTGCTCCAACAAGTCAAGTGTTTCTGACACGATTCTCACGTCAACAGCTGTCTCTTGGAATATAATTAATTTCCTTTTTTGTGATGTTGTTTCAGTGTTTCTGATGTCCAGCATGTTCTACCCTTCTTCTAGAAGAAAGTATTTGTGATATACAGGCCTGTGGCCTTTGGCTTCTCTTGTTTCTTAACACTTGCCCATGCTTTCTAGCATACTTTTTCACTGTCTTCCCCTATGTTTACACTTTTATATTACTGAAGTCATTTAGTATGAAGGTATATGTTGAGTTAATAGGAGGAGGGAGAGATCTTATAAAGACCTTTTATAGAACTTCTCTACTGCCATCCTCTTTAATGGATACTGACCCATCAGCTATAGTTATCTTCGTGGTGGTTTTTTTGTTTATATTTATTATGAGCAAGGAGAGCCAAGATGACCAACTGGCCTATTAAATGATGTTTCTTATTGTCTTTAAATACAGCAAAACCAACTTTTCCATCTCTCCTAGGAGGACGTGTAAATCCTCCCCCCACTTATTTACAGCTTCCTCAAATCCTCTATTTTCATTTATGGTGAAAGATCAATATTGACATAAATCAGCTCTTCCTCTACTGTACTGATTCACTGGCAATTAGACAAGAACATCACATTTAAACTACCAACAGCTAAGCTGCTTTTTCTAGTCAACCTAAAAACTGCATTGTTCTCAGTATCCTTACCCCTTTTCCTGTGACCCCGAAACTACTGTCACAGAAGGATGTCACACAGAACTGACAGCCACATTGTAAGGTTCTAGGTTTCACAGACTGTCATGGCCAGCCATCTCATTACATAATGATGATCGTACATATAGGTAACGAGTCGCTGCATACCTACTAGGCTATTTCTCAGACAGTAAACACAGTTGGCCACACAACTATACCGAAAGCGAGCCTTTCCAGCATTCTGGCATCTGCCATGGCTTCCACTCCCATGGCACAGCTGTCAAGAACTGAGGGTCACCTCTACATCACAGTAAGACTCAGAAGGAGGACTTTTGTGAGGGTAACAATCTTTAAATCAACTGAAGGGCTCTCCCAAATAACAGCATATCAACATCTGTTTCTCTAGACTTTTCATGCTCTTTGGATAAACTAACACACATAAGAAGTAAAAGAAAACACATGATGATCCTCTACTCTTTTCCAACAACTAGGAGCCTACAGGTGTGGAAGATGGCATACACTGTCAAATACAATTACTGGTGTCAGTTTTCCTTAAATGTTTATCTTAGTCAAAATGGAATGTTCTTGGTGCAGGGGATGAGAATATTGAGAAACTGCTGAGATACAAAAGGCAAAAGGCATCAGTAAAACTTCAAAAAGAAAACAAATGTAGGACAAATGCTTTTTCAAATGCCCAAGAGGTTTGCATTAACAACACCTGCTTCACACTCCTTACCTGTGCACAATTCTACTACAAGCCAGAGATGATTGCTCGTCTCATACCATTCATGGAAAGTGACTATATTCTTGTGTTTAATTTCACTGGTGAGGCGAACCTATAAAAAAAATAAGTTAAAGTTAAATTATATACAATATAATGACATATACAACATATGATATACATAATATATATAAATTAAGTTAAAATTAAAATACAAGTTAAAATAAAAATATAAGTTGAAAATAAGATACTGTATTTTGAGTGAAATCATTTTTTAAAACCTTGTCTTTCAAGCATTATAACCATCCTTCCTTAAACTCCTAGTGAAATATGATATTATTTAATTACTTACTTTAATACCTGCTTCAGACCTAGGATCATGGATTTTGACCTGGAAGGAATCTTAGAGATTCTCTAATCCAAATCCCTCCTTCCACAGGTGGGGAAAAGGCCTATAAAAGCTAAGTGACTTGGCCAAGGTCACACAGCCAGTAAGAAGCAGGGCTAAGACTCAAACCAAAAACCTCTGATGCCATGTTCCTTCCAAGGTGTCAAACTCGTGGCCCACAAGAGGCTCACAAAACTCCTGAGTGCAGCCCAAACCAGATTAAACTATAACTGAGAAATGTTTAACAATATGTAAAAATACTACAGACCATCAATAATATCAATTTGTGGTTTTCTATGTCAATATGTGCCCCACCAGGGTCCATTTCTATATGACTTTGACATCATTGTACTACATCATGTTCCTACTACCTAGAGTGCTTTAATGATCAATTAATACACGTGAAAGTATTTTATTATTAAGCATTTTCATTAACACATTAACATAAAATATATATGTATTATTAGTCATAATCACAAAAAGCCAAAAAGGAAAAAAGCCAAGCTCTCCATACTTATCTAATGATGTAGTAATGCTGAAGGTTTAAAATTACTCTAATTTAAGAAAACTATATTACACAGTTTCAAATACTTGTTTCTTATCTTAAATTCAAATTAAATTTTTATATGTTGCAAGTGCTAGTTTTTAGATATGCTTTTAAATAACAACATCTTACATGCCGATTGAGTGTTAGATCCAAATAAACATATAGCTTTAAAAACTATAGTCAAAACCATTACTTTAGGGGCAGCTAGGTGGCGCAGTAGAGCTCCAGCCTTGAAGTCAGGAGGACCTGAGTTCAGATGTGACCTCAGACACTAGCTGTGTGATCCTGGGCAAGTCACTTAACCCCAGTTGCCTCGGGGAAAAAAAAATCATCACTTTAATACTCCCCCCCACCAAAACATATTACCTCACTTATATGGAAATTTTCAGGTTTACAAAGAGCTTTTCTCTCAACAACTCTGTCAGGCAAATATTCTATCATGTTCTCTCTCTCCCTATCTCTCTCTGTCCCTCTCTGTCTCTGTCTCTGTCTCTGTCTCTCTCAGAAAGGAGGAAGCTGAGAAATTAAGTACTTTTCTCTAGACAGCAACTATTAAGTGTCAGAGCCCAGTTTTCTGTTTTTCACCCCTGGACGCTGCATTTCCAGATCTACAATCTTCTATGAGGAAAAAACAAATTCATTACAATGACTATATGACACTACCACTAAAAACCCTCAGGAGCTCCCCATTGCCTTTAGAACAAGGTTTCTTAACCTTTTTTTCTGCCATATCCCTTCTGGCAGTCTGGTGAAGCTGATGAGTCCCTTCTCAGGATAACGGTTTTAAATAATTGAAGGAAATGCTAAATTTCAGTGGGGGATCAGTGAAAATAAAGATGTCATTTCCCTTGCATCCACATTCAATAACCCCCTGAAATCTAACCATGGCCACCTGCCAAAGGAATCCAGAGATTCCAGGTTAAGAATCTCTGCTTAGAATAAGCGAGGCAGGATAGTGTCACTGAAGGAACACCAGACCTAGAATCCATGCCCTGGATTTAAACCCTGTCTAACACTTAATAACCATGTGACCACAGGCAAGCCCCCTGCCCACTTGAAGCCTTAGCTTCCTCACTAGTAAAATGAAGATAATAATACCTTTAGTGGCTACATCACAAGTTTTTAGTGAGGATCAAATGAAATCATTGCTCCTCTGAATTTGATTCTGACTAAAAAGGAGAAACTATACAAATAAAGAGAAATGAAAGGAGGAGGGACCGTACCATCAAAGAATGAAGGACTCTAGAAATAATCTGGCATGCACCCTTCATTTTAAGTTAAAGGATTTACAAGAAAAAATGGAAATATAAATGGAGAAAAGGATGATTCATGCCCCTTAACTTTACCCGTGAAAAGGACAAATAACAAACCTGTTGTTTACCCATGCAAAAGAAAGTATTGCTTAACTTCTGTGAACAATGCCTTCTGCATAGTAGGCACTTAAATGTTTGCTGAATTAAATTCATGCCCACAATTGTAAAAAAAGGAAAAGAAATTGTCGTCTTTGACAATACCACAAAAATCCACCAGGTGGCGATATTATCCCACTACACAATAGTGATTACACTATAATTCAACATAAGGAGAATAAGAGAGTCAAAGATACATCTCTTTAAATCATTCGGTTTTCTAAAAGAGAAATCTACTTAAATGTTGGCGTTAAATGAGCCAACAACTCACAAGAAGCCTAGAGATAATTTTAAGAACAATTTATTAGAATCAAAAAAAATAAAAAATACAACAAAATTTGGCTAACTAGAAAAGTCCAACCTGGAGTTAAGAAGATCTGAATTCAAATCTTTAGCCTCTGACAACTTACAAGTTGTATAACCCAGGAGAGTCAATTATCATCTGCCTCATTTTTCTCTTCTGTGTAATGGGGATAATAATAGCACCTATCTCTTCTCTCTAGGCACCCCCCTCCATATCCAAGAAGTTATGAAGTCATACCAATTCTACCTCTCTCATATACTTCTCTCTACTGCCACTTCCACCACCCTGGGTGCAGGCCCCTCTCACCCAACACCTGGACTATTGGAATGATGTACTGCTTGCTTTCCCACCCTCCAGCGTCTCCACCCTCCAGTCCATCCTTCACTCAGCTGTCAAACTGATCTTCCTAAGCACAAGTCTAACTATGTCAACCCCTCCCCCCAACTCAATCATTCCAGAGGTTCTCCATCACTTCTAGGATCAAATATAAACTCCTCCATTTGGCTTTTAAAGCCCCTCATAACCTGGCCCTTTCCTACTTTTTCAATATTCTTATATATAATTAGCCTCTACATACCCTGCGATCCAGTAACATTAGAATTCTTGCTCTTCCTTGAACATAATGCTCCATCACCCAATTCCAAGACTTTTCACTGGTTGTCCTCCATGCCTAGAATGTTCTTCCTCCTCACCTCTGCCTCTTGGCTTCCCTGGCTTCCTCCAAGTTCCTGATAAAATCCCATCTGCTGTAAGAACCCTTTCCCAGGCCTCCTTAAAATCAGTGCCTTCCCTCTGACCCTACCCCCAATTTATCCCGCATCTATCTTTTTGTCTTAAGTGTTTGAACATTGTTTCTCACATTAAAGGTGAGAGCCTTGAGAGTAGGGACTGTTTTTTGCCTTTCTCTGTACCCCTAGTGCTCAGTACATAGTAGGCACTTAAAAAATTCTTGTTCACTAACTGACTAAAGGTTATTACGAGGATAAAAGAAGATAATATTTGTAAAGCATTTTATAAACTTTAAAGTGCTATATAAATGCTAGTTAATATTATTATTAAAATCAAAGATTATCAGAAAAAGTTCCTTCACCTACAGGTACATGTACATGTACAAAAATATTTATAGAGCTCTTTTTGTGGTGGCAAAGAATTGGAAATTGAGGGAATGCCCATCTAATGGGGAATGGCTGAACAAGTTGTGGTGTATGAATGTAATGAAATATTATTGTGCTACAGGAAATGATGAGCAGGCTGATTTCAGACCTGGAAAGACTTACATGAGCTGATGCTGAGTGAAGTGAGCAGAACCAGGAGAACATTGTACACAGTAACAGCAACATTGTGTGATGATTAACTATGATAGCTTTTCTCAGCAACACAATGATCTATGACCATTTCAAAAGATTTGTGACAGAAAATGCTAACCACATCCAGAGAAAGAACTATGGTGTCTGAATGCTGGTTGAAGCAAACTATTTTCACTTTTTTTGTTGTTTTTTGCTTTTTCTGTCTCGTGGTTTTTCACTTTTGTTCTGATTCTTCTTTCACAACATGACTAATGTGGAAATGTATTTAATATGATTATACATGTATAACATATATCAGATTGCTTGCTGTCTTAGGGTGGGGGAAGGGAAGGGAGGGAGGAAAAAAATTTGGAACTCAAAATCTTACAAAAATGAATGTTGAACTCTATCTTTATATATGCTATTAAGTGGGGAAAAAAGGAAAGAAAAAGGATCCTTTAAAAAAAAGTTCAAGTGAAGAAAACCAGAAGATCCACAAGATACAACAGTTAATTTGTCAATATCCAATAATAGGAAGGAACCTGAATAACTAGATGTCAGGCATGAAAAAAAAAGATGACTTTAAAACTATGAAGATTCTGCAAATGCCACAAAAAGATAAAACATCTATAATCATCTAGAACACTGGGGTCAAACTCCAACAGAAACGGACCCGGTAGGCTGCATACTGACTTAGAAAACCACCAGTTAACAGAATCTATGCTGTACCATATTTTTATTTATTTTGTTCAACTTTCCTCAACTACATTTTAATCTGGCTCAGGCCACTGCGGAGCTTGACATTTCTAATTCAGACTATCTCAAGATCATTGTACGTTACTTGTACAATGAAGAGTGGTGCCCTCAGGAAAAGAGAGTGCACGCTAGAAATGCAGGACTCTACCCTGGTACGACTCTGTCTGGAGTAGTGTTGAGTGCTAGGCACCCTATGACTTTCCAGTAAGGACACTACCGCAGAAGCATACCCAGAGAAGGGTGACCAGGACAGGAGGGTGAGGGGATTGGGAACCATGCTATTCAAAGATCAGCAAAAGGAGCTCATTTGTTAAGCCTAGGGGAGAGAAGGTTTAGGAGGCACAACCGTCTTCAAATATGTGAAGGAAGATGGATGAGATTTGTTCTGTGTGGCCCCAGAGGACAGAACTAGGAGCAAAGGAATACAAGTTACAGAGATTTAGGCTCAACATAAGGGAAAATTTCCCCCAAATCAGAACTATTCCAAAAAGATGGAGGCCGCCTCAAGAGGCAGAGGGCTCCTACCTCCTCAATGTCTTCATTATGGATCATGAAGCAGAAGCAGAATGACTTTGTCCAGGATGTCAGAAAAAAGACTACGATGCAGGCATAGGTTTTATTACATGATGGCTGAGCTCTTTTCAATTCTAAGATTCTGTAAGGATCAAGGCTGCTTAAAATAGGCAGAATCTGTCCAGAACACAGAGAATTCTGAGGAACTAGAAAAATCTGCCAATTTATGAAAGTCCACGGGAGGACACAGTATCTAACACGTGCCTCGCTCTCAACAGATGCCCTCTGTAGGTTTCTGAATAAAAGGCTGAAATAACACAGATAAGGTATGGGATGGGCGAGGGACACTGGCTGTCTCTGATCCTTTGGTCTTCTTGTCCCATTCTCCATTCTTCTTCTCCTTTTGTTTCCTAGCCCTGAACATGTCTCTCTTACCCCTTAATGTTCCTATCACTCTTAACTGACTACAATATGAAAATGAAGCATACTTGCATTATTGGTTATGCCTATTTAATAAAATGTAATGTTCTGTTGGAAGGAATTCCCAAGTCAATGAGATCATTGATCCATGTGAGTAATGTTTTATGATCTAATTTAAAAAGTAATGAAGTGGATAAATATTTCTCCCTTTAAAAAAAATTAATTTACTCTTAGTTACCCAATTTACTGATTCTCACTTGATTTTTTTTCTAAAGCTAAGTGCTCCTCAACAAAATTTACATCCCTATCCCTATAAAGTACAGGCTGATTAAATTCAATGACATCAATTTAATTAGAAATGATTTATTATATCTTTGCATCACAATTTATAGCTGTGTATTTCCAGGAAGGCCAAGCAAGACGCTTTACTTACCCAGTTGGTTATTTCAGGTCTTTTGCATTTATCAGTACAAAGAATGGCTACAAAATTAATCGTGCCTTTCCTTCGGCCTTTATAAACAACAGTCTTGCTTCCTCTCCCGATCTCTTCATAAAGAATAAAGTTCTCCATCTTAAAGGTGAGCTATAGCCTCCTCAGTTTCATCTCTGTGGACTAAAAAATGAAAAAGAAACGATATATAATTTTCCAAATTCATAAAGATCACAATCACATTTAATATATAAAAGAAACCTTACGATCATACTCATTCTTCAAAAAAAAAAAAGCAAACCTTCATATGTCAAACAATAAGGCCTTCCTTTTTTTTTAAGCACAATGTGAGTCTAGAACAGAATGTTATAAAGTCCATTGCTAAACCAACATGAGGCTTTCTGAATGCAGTTCATTAAGTCTTAAAATAAATTGTTTAAGTAACAGTCTTACTTTCAGTCTTCAAATGTAACCAATGTCCTTTAGGCCAGTGGTCTCCAGACTTTTTGGATCACACACTTATCAGCCTAAAAAATTATATCAAAATATATACCTGAAATTGTTCTGAGTCCGTACCACCACCATCTGTCTAGTTCCAGATTATATACATGTCCTACCGGGCTAATCAACATGAACATTACGACTATGTGTGAGTGAAGAATCAAGGAGCCCTGAGGTTGGGAGAACCTGGGGAACTAGAGCAACGGTATCCCTCTCTGCTTTCAGAACCCAGATCAACAAAGTCCTTCCCCATCTCCCAACCAGTCTGTATGTAACCGTTTTGTACTTATCTGCATGTATTTATTCTGTGTAGCCTTTTATAGGTGTCCCAAAAGTCTTAGTTCAGTTTCAAGCGCCGAAAGTTTATGTCTTCTCCTTTGAAGCAGAAGCTTTTGCAAGAAGAGACTGCATAACAAATTGATTTATGTTCCCAGAGCACAGCACAGAACATGATACGTGGTAGATGCTTAACAAATGTTCGTAGAATGCTTCATTAACTGACAGTCATAAGGAAGTGTGGATGAGGGATGGTCTGGGGGAAAACATTATGTAATGATATTTGTAAGGCAGATCACAATCCATCCCTGCCTGCTCGTGCAGAGATTTCAATCAGTGTCTCTTCCTGAACTACCCTAATCCAATCTCTGCCCCCTCAGACATGCCAACCTGACTCTCCCAGTTCCCAGAAAAGCTACCTGGGCCTCGCCCTTCGATCTGCCACTACACCTTAAGGATCACATGGGCCCTGCAGTGGAACTCTTCTATGCATGTTTGTTCCCCCTGATTAATCCTGACTCTGAGGTCACTGACAGCAGGCGCTGTCTCCCTTTGCTATTTGTGTGCTGAGCCAGTGTTTAGCAAAGTGTTCGGCATACAGTAAGCACCTCATAAAGGCTATTCTGTTCCATTCTGTCCCAAAACGTAACTTTCTGGGACACAGAGGACACCTGATGAAAATGAACTGAGTTGGCAGGAACATCTTCTGTGAGAAAGAGCAAGGAAGTCAATGTCACAGCACTGCATGGTAGAAGGAAGAGAGGAAAGTGTAAGAAGCCTGGAAAGGTAGGAAGGGGGAGAGTTGCCAAGGGCTTTAAGAGTCCAGCAGAGGCTTTGATGTCACCCTAGAGGTGACAGGGAGACACTCATTGACTAAGGAGGTGGGGGTAACACGGTTGGTCAGAGCTGTGCTGCAGGAAGATCACTCTGTTGGCTGAGTGGAAGATGGACTGGAGTGAGGGGAGCCTTGAAGCAGGCAGACCCTGCAGCAGCTATTGCAATAATCCAGGTATGAAGTGATGAGGGCCTGTAACAGGAGGTGGCAGTGTCAGAGGAGAGAAGGGGGCACATCTGTAAAATGGAGAGCTGTTACAAAAGCAGATTTGGCAACAGACTGGATGGGGGGGAGGGTGATAGAGAGGGACCAGTTGGGGATGATGCCTAGATTTCAAGCCTGGGTAGCTAGGAACATGGTGGTGCCCTCAACAGTTATAAAGAAGTTAGGAAACAAGGGAAGGTTTGGGGAAAAAATAAGTCCAATTTTGGACATGTTGAGTTTAAGAGAGACATCCAGTTCCAAATACCCAACAGGAAATGGAGAGTGAGACTAGGAGTCAGAAGAGAGGTCAGGGCTGGATGAACAAATCCAAGGGATAACTAAATTCACGGGAGCTGAGAAAATCACCAAGAAAGAGAGTACGACAAAGGGAGAAGGGAAGAGGACCTAGGACACCTACGTTTAGCAGTTATCACCTAGATGACAACCCAACAAAAGAGACTGAGAAGGAGCTGCCAGACAAGTAAAAGAACCTGAAGAGAACAAAATCTAGCTGACAGTATCCAGGAGAAGATGGTGATTGAGTGTCAGAGGCTACAGAGAGGTCAAGAATATGAGGACTGAGCAAAGGCCACTAGATTTGGCAATTAAGAGATCACTGGGAACTTTGAAGGGAGAAGTTTTAGTTGAATGATGAAGTCTGAAGCCAGACTGAGAAGAATTAAGAAGAAAGTTCATGATGGTTCCAACCATTCTGGAGAGCAATTTGGAACTATGCCCAAAGGGCTATAAAACTGCAGAGCCTTTGACCAGGCAATACCACTACTAGGTTTGTATCCCAAAGAAATCAAAGAAAAGGGAAAGGGCCTATCTGTACAAAAATATTTATAGCAGCTCTTTCTGTGGTGGCAAAGAATTGGAAATCAAAGGGATATCCATCAATTGGGGAATGGCTGAACAAGTTGTGGAATATGATTGTGATGAAGCACTATTGGGCTATAAGAAATAGTGAGCAGGATGCTCTCAGAAAAACCTGGAAAGACTTACATGAACTGATGCAGAATGAAGTAAGCAGAACCAAGAGAACACTATACACAGTAACAGCAATACTATATGACGATCAATGGTGAATGACTTAGCTATTCTCAGCAACACAATGATCCAGGACAGTTCTAAAGGACTTATGATGGAAAAATGCTATGCACCTCCAGAGAAAGAGCCAATGGAGTCTGAATGCAGACTGAAGCATACCTTTTTACTTTATTTTTCTTGGGTTTTTGTTTTGGTTTTGGTTTGGTTTTGTTGTTGTGGTGGTGGTGGTGGTGGTGGTGGTTTTTTTTGGCCTGTGTCTTCTTTTGCAACATGGCTAATATAGAAATATGTTTTGCATTACTGAACATGTATAATCTATATAAAATTGCTTGCCTTCTCAGAGAGTGAGGAGAGGACAGAGGGAGAGAATCAAAATTTTAAAAAAACAAACATTAGAAATTGTTTTTATATGTAACTGGAAAAAATAAAACATAAGAATAAAAATTGTGAAAAGAAGGAGGAAGTGAAAGCACCTATTACAGATGGCCTTCTCAAGGAGTTTAGCCACAAAAGTGAAGCAAGATATAGTCTGACAGATAACAGGGAAGGACCAAGTGAGGGTTTTTGAAGGATGCAGGAAACTTGGGCATGTCTGTAGGTAGTAGGCAAGTAGCCAGTAAAAAGAGAGAAATGGAAGAGAAGTAAGAAAGCCCTTCCAGCTACTAGTGCCTCCCCCCAAAAGTTACCTTCTATTTATTTTAAATATATCGATGTGTATATGTCTCCCTCTACAGAATGTAAATCCCTAAGGGCAGGGATTGTTTCATTTGTATCTTTGTATCCCAGATGCCTGACATTTGTTAGGTACTTAATAAATGACTGAATTAGCTGAAACTTCCTTTCATTTCCTGAGAAATTGTGCAGTTTCTCTGTGCAGCTTTCAATGATTGCAAGCTGCTACCTAACACACATGCATCTTTTTTAACATCAACATATTCCAAGTGATTCTATATACCTGCAAACATCTCAGGAGCCAAAGAAATCAACATGGTGCATACCCCAAAGGTAAATGGACCACCTCATGGCAGGTTTAAGTAAGCTGCAACAAATTACCGATGGTGATTTTCAAAGAAAAACTGTATGAAAAGTATCATCTAGGAAATGTATTAAAAAGAAACTGGCCAATTGTGTAGCATTAATGAAAACAAGAATTAACAATGAAACAAATACACAAGAATTTAGTTCCAAGTATCAAAATCCCAACTAGAAAACAAATATCAGTATGACAAGAAAAATAAGATCACTAGAGGTAAGCAGGATTGAAAAAAGGACAAAATATCTTGTTACTAATTTTTTAAAATAGGTCTACAGGTTAAAAAAGGCTCCAAACGCATTTATAGGTGATGTGAATTTAAAAAAAAAACTCTCAAAATACCTAAGTAAAAATATGAACTTAAAGATCACTGAAGTAAATAAAGAGGAAATCAAAAACAGTTATAAAGCATCCACCAGACAAGCTGCTACATCCTGTGTTTTGCCCAATTCTAAAACCCCAGTCAAGAGCAAACAATCACCATTTCAGGATTTAGAGAGAGACTGCAACTTACAGATTATCTGCTTGGATCCTCTCCTTTTACACAGGAGGAAGGAGTCCTACAGATTGTTCAGGATTAAGCAATCAGTAAGTAGAAGTGCCAGAAACAGAACTCAGGTCTTCTGACTACAAATCCTACGTTCCTTCAACTACAGGTCTTCTTTAAAGCTGTGTGGCCTTAGGCAAGACACAAGGATTCCAGGTCTCAGTTTCATCATCTCTAAAATGGGAATGATAAAATACTCATACTATCTACCTCTTGGTGTTGATAGAATATACTTTCACAAACCTTAAATCACTATAGAAATCTGGCAGGCTAGCTAGTGTCCAGGGAAAAAGACTAGTTTTAAAGTTGGAGAACCAGCGTTCAAATCACCACCCTTTTATTTACTACTTATGTGACCTTGGGCAAGTCCCCTACCTAGTCTGGGCCTTCAAATGTAGATGAAAAATGAAGAGACTGGACTAGAAAATGTCTAATACTCCCCGTCCAGTTTCGAATTGTAAGATTTTGTCTCTGCCTCACTCTGGACCTCAATTTCCTCAAATGTAAAACAAAACAGCTGACTTACATGATATTTAAAATTTCTTCCAGCTTTAGTTCCTGTGAAGTAGAGTGGACAGAGCACTGACTTTAGAGTCAAAAGACAGAGCTTCAAATACAGCCTCTGCATATATTCTCTAAGTGACCCTATGTCACTGTGGGAGGACAATCTCTGGGCCTCAGTTTCTTCATTGTAAAATGACCCAGCTGAAGTTTCTATCAGCGCTAGATCTATATGAGCCTATGAATCTACAAGTCTGGGAGAGCTGTTAGCATCACAACTCTCTTTCTGGCCATTCGACTTAAGGCAGATGGATGCATGGGGGTCAGCACTGAGAACCCTAGAACTCGGAATTCAGTATCTGCTCTGCCATTTACTACCTGTGTAACCTTGCGGCAAGTCAGTTAACATCTCTGGGTCTCCTCATTTGTAAAATTAGGGAGTTGAACTAATTATTGAAGTCCTAGCTAAAAATCTATGAACCTGGAACGTATGAGACCTATTTAATATAAATTGTTTGGAAGTGAACTACTGACGTTCCAGGGAGGAGGAGACAGCCTTGGAAAAGAGCTTTGAAAGAAGTACGTGGAGAAACAGCACCCGAGAAATTCCAAAGACTGTTAAGCAGGGAAAAGGTGGGGGGATGTAGATGAACAGGTGGAGGGAGGAGTGCAGATAAAGAGCAGGGCAGGAGCTTGAAGGATGTGATCCCCGAGAGGGAAGAACGGAGGAGGTGGTGCAGGACCTGGGAGGAAAGGGCCCGCGAGGGGGAAGAAAGGCGGCGGTGGCGCGGCAGCAGGAAGGAGGCGCCCGCGAGGGGGAAGAAAGGCGGCGGTGGCGCCGGAGAGCGCGCACGACACGCCTCGCGCAGGCTGCGCCAGAACCGTTGGCAGAGGCGCGCGGGAGGCGGCGGCAGAGACGGCCGACTTCCGCCTGCCGCCTCGCACGGCCCCCCAGCCCGACCGCAGCGCTCCGCAGAGGGGGAGAAACGAACCCGAGCCCGCCGTCTCCCCTGATGGCTTCGTCAGGAGAACCGCCTGCTCCCTGAGAGCAGCGACCGGGACGCGGAAGCCCCGGGCTCCTGGAAATTCGCGGCGCTTCCGCTTGCGGCGACCCCCGGCGCTCCTCAGGCTGACCCACTCTCCGAGATGAGCGGGGGGAGGAGACACGGGGAGATTCCGCGGTTCTTTTTTTTTTTTAGCTTATGACTCGGGGTCTCGCTGCCTCCCCCTCCCCGTTTGGAATCGTCCGGCCCGTCGCCGGGGCAGCGCGCTGAACGCCGGAAGCAGGCCGAAGCGCTCATTGGGCCAGCAGTCTCGTTTCTGATTGGCTGGGGCCGGAAGGCGGTGTCCCGCCGTTGCTCCTGGCAACCGGGAAGGCTGTTGGATGTTCAGCTTCTCCCACCGAGAGAATCTTAACGGGGGATGGAAAAAACTCCGCTGTATTGAACGAGACCTTTTCTGAGTCTAGGTTCAGATTCCACCACGGTCACTACCTGGATGACCTCGAGCTAGTAACTTAACCTCCCTGGGCCTCTGTTTCTTCATCTGCAGAATTAGGGGTTTGGACCTCTAACGTCCCTTCAAGCATCCCACGCAAGAAAGGCACCTGTATGTGTTACTCCCGCCACTAGTCTGAGGCCGGTGTAGGTCCTTGTACGCAGGCGTTCAATAAGCATTTATTCCACACCGAGCTGGAGTCAGGCCGTGGTCTAGGCGCTCAAGGAGCTTGCATTCTACTGCGGAGAAAGCAATATTTACATGGAGAAGTTAATACTTTGGAGAAGAAAGCCTGGGGGAGGGGGGAGAGGGGACAGGATCAATGGCCTTCACCCAGTCAGATAAATACTGTAAGCAGCAAGCCCCTCCTTCAACTAAATCTGCCCTGGGGAGCAGGATTAGTGAACAGCTTAGTGGCCTTCATAAACTGCCAACAAACAGTTCATTAGCTATTGATAAACTAGTGAAGGGAGGAGAATGCCACAGAAAGAACTTTGAAAGTACCCTAGAGTAAAGCAACAGAGAAATTCCCTTTTTTAAATGTTATTTCTTCTGAACTTAAGAGATAAAACAAGTATTTCCATAACATAGTAGAATAGGAAGAAAAAGATGATTGCACCTGAAACTACAAATCTGTTATGTACAACTTGCTGTTGCTTTTAAATATGTGATAAAGTTGTCATGTAACTTTCCTTTTTTTCCCTTATTTTCTTCCCTTCTCCCCTCCCCCAGAGATGGCTATCATTAGACGTGTGTGTGTGTATGTAAAAATCATTCTATACATACTAGTTATTAGTCCTTTCCTTCCTTCACAGGCCCTTTGTAGTTAATTTGGATATTTAAAATAGTACAAATGACTTAGTCATTCAAAGTTCTTCTTAAAACAATGTACTGTATCCAGCATTTCTCTTGGTTCTGCTCATGTCACTCTTCATTATCTCCTGCAAGTCTATCCATGTTTTTTCTAAGATCATCAAGTTCATCAATTCTTGTAACACAGTAGTATTCCATCATGCTCATATACCACAACTTGTTCAACCATTCCCCAGTTGACCGGCATCCCCAAAATTTCCCATTCTTTTCCATCAGAAAGAGACCTGCTATAAATTTTTTGAAACATGTAGGTTCTTTTCCTTTTTCCCTAGTCATCTTTGGAATCAGAGCTAGTAGTGGTATTGCTGGGTCCAAAGGTATAGGCAGTTTAATAACTCTTTGGATATAATTCCAGGTTGCTCTCCAAAATGGTTGGATCAGTTCACAGTTCCACCAACAGTGAATTAGTGTCCCAATTTTTCTGTATCCCCTTCAACATTTGCTGTTTTCCCTTTCATTCATTTTAGTCATCCTGATAGTTGTAAAATCTCAGGGTTTTAATTTGCATTTCTCTAATCAATAATGATTTAGAGCATTTTTTTCCTATGACTATAAATTTTGATTTCGTCATCAGAAAATTGCCTGTTCATATCCTTTGACCACTTATCAATTAGGAAATAATGCATATTTGAAATGTGAGACCTTTATCTGAGAAACTAAATAAAATTTTCCCTAATTTTCTGCTTTCCTTCTGATCTTGGCTGCTTTTTTATTTGTACAAAAATCTTCTTAATGTAATTAAAATTATCCATTTTACACCTCACACTATCTCTTGTTTATTCATAAATCATCTGCCTATCCATAAGTCTGATAGATATTATGTTCCATCTTCTTCAAATTTTCTTGCAATATCTTTCTTTGTATCTAGGACATGTATCCATTTTGGCCTTATCTTGGTAAATGGTGTAAGATGTTGGTCTATGCCCAATTTCTGCCAAACTGCTTTCCATCTGTCCCAGCAATTTTTACCAAATGATGAATTCTTACCCCCAAAACTTAAGTCTTTACACTTGTCAAACACAAGATTACCATGGTCATTTGCTGCTGTAAATTGTATGTCTGCTCTGTTCCACTGATCTACCTTTCCATTATCCAGTATCAGATAGTTTCAGTAATTACTGCCTTATAATATACTTTAAGATCTAGTACTGCTAAACTTCCTTCCTTTACATTTTTTCATTTGTTCTTTTGATATTCTTCACCTTTTGTTCTTCCAAATGAATTTTGTTATTTCTTCTAACAGTAAAATAATTTTTGGTAATTTAGTTGGGATGGCATTGAATATATAAATTAGTTTAGGTAAAATTGTCATTTTTATTTTATTGGCCCTGCCTACCTGTGAACAATTAACATTTCTCCAGTTATTGAAATCTGACTTTATTTGTATAAAACATTTTTATAATTTTGTTCCTATAGTTTCTGGGTTTCTTTTGGCAGGTGTACTCCCAGGTATTTTATACTGTCTAGAGTTATTTTAAATGGGGCATCTCTTACTGTCTCCTTGCAGGATTTCGTTTGTGATATGTAGGGATGCTGATGATTTGCATGGATTTACTTTATATCCTGCTACTTTGCTAAAATTATTAACTATTTCAACTTTTTATTTGAGTCTTTGGGATTTTCTAAGTATATAAGACCATCTATAAAAAGAGATAGTTTTGTTACCTCATTTCCTACTCTGATTCCTTCTCTTTCTTTTTCTTCTCTTATTACTATTGCCAAGGATTTCCAGTATTATATTGAATAATATTGGTGATGGTGAACAGACTTGTTGTAATTACGTCTAGTCCTACTGGGAAGGAGTCCAGCTTATCCCCATTAAAAATAATACTTGCTGATGATTTTAGCTAACTGCTTTTTATCAATTTAAGGAAAAATCCACGCATACCTATACTTTGAAGTGTTTTTACTGGAAATGAGTGTTGTGCTTTATCAAAAGCTTTTTATGCATCTAATGATATAATTTTAGTTCTACCTCAGACACTAGCTATGTGGCTATGGGCAAATCACTTAACCTTTGCCTCAGTTTCTTCATCTGTAAAATGGAAATAACAGATAACACCTACTTCAAGGTTGTTTTGAGGACTAAATGAAATACCACATGTAAAGCATTTTGCAAACTTTAAAGTGCTTTATAAATGTAACCTCTTATTACATTAAAACTTTGTAATAACTCACATTTCTGTATCATTGTGAGCTCAACCCTGTGAAATAGGCATTGCAAGCATTATTTCTCCTAAAAACTTAGAACTGGAGGGAGACTTTGAAGTCTAAAATCCGTTTTACAGATTAAGTGGTACCCAGATTTAAAGGCTAAGGAATAAGGGTTTGCTACCTATACCGTGCCCCATGCCTGGAATGTTCTTCTGTCTCATATTCACTTTCTGACCTCCCTTGGCTTCCTTCATGTCTCAACCAAAGTCTTGTCTTCTACAGGGAGCCTTCCCCATCCCTCTTAATTCTAGTCCCTTTCCTCTGTTAATTATTTCCTATTTATCCTCCCCATAGCTTGTGTGTACTTATTTGTTTGCTGCTTGTCTCTCCCATTAGATTGTAAGCTCCTTGAGGGCAGGAAGTGTCTTTTGCCTTTCTTTGGATGCCCAATGCTTAGCACAGTGCCTGGTGCTAAATATATGTTATTGACTGACTGACAATCCTACTTTTTCTCTTGTTCTTTTCTTTTCTTTCTTCCCAACCTTCTTCTTTCCCTCTCTTTCTTCTAAACAGTCCGGCTGAGCTGTCTAATCTGCTCCAAGCTCAGGTTTTTCTGGCCTGCGCTGTTTTAAATACACCAATGAGTTCGGTAGTCTTCCTACCCATAAAGTGGGGGTGGACATGCATTATTATCCCTTCTTTCATAGTTCACCAAGGCAGTAGGTCTCAGAGTGTGGTCTGGGGGTCCACAAAACCTTTTCAGGGAGTCCACAAGGTCAAAACTATTTTCATAATAATAATAATAATATGTTTCGATTTCTAATATGATAAATAATGATAGCTATAACACATAGAGGAGTGGGTCCTTATTAATTTTTAAGTATGTAAAGGGGTCTGGAGACCAAAATGTTTGAGACCTGCTACACTAAGTGCAGATGAGTTCAAACATCTATTGTCGGGTTATAGCAAGGAGCAGCATCCCCTGATTTCTTGTCTAGTGATCATAATCAACATTATTTGTAATCAGGTAGTCCTGCATGACTTTTACAAAATAGGAACTAATTTCTTAAAATAGGAAGATGTATGCATCTCGTTTACAGTAAAACATTGAGCAAGCATTCAGAAAAGGTATCTTTTGAGACTGGTACAAACCAAGGGAAAAAAAGAGCATAGAAACTATGGAATAGTCTCCCTAACTTGATCAAGACCAATTCCATTCCCAAATCATCTGGGTAGTGTGGTATTTAAGCTATACCCACTCAAAATGAACTAGCCTGGGCCATAGACCTTATTAATGGCAACAGTCAGTAAGTGTCTAATATAGGCAGAGTACTATTCTAGCAGACAGTGGAAAGATAAAAGGTTCAGATAAGAAATCCTGCCCTTAATAATAAATAGATGATATTTGTTTAGTGCTTTGAATCATGTTAAGTGTTTTCTAAACATTATTTCACTTGGTCCTGCCTTTGAAGTAGATACTATGGATGTTACCATCCCTATTGTTCAAAATGAAGAACCTGAGTAAGAACAGGAAATTGAGAGGGCTATTGGAGGGGAAAAGTTATTAAACATTTTGTCTGCTCTTATCAGTGGAAAAGGTGCCTTTGAAGGCAGTTCTGAAATCTCTAGACATCATTAGAATACAAATGATGTAATAGTTATGTGGGAATATTCTATTCCCAGAATAGAATTCAGAACTATTTATAATTCTGGAGGTTTCAGACTCAGCAGAGATGAACTCTGCTCATTCAGCTTCAGTTCCTCACTTTTTTAAGCCTTTCCCACTTTCAACCCTATTTTGAGTTTTCAAAGTTTTGGAAGAAAGCTAATATTAATCTAATGCAAGGTTCCTCAGATATTTGTGGTCCCTATAACACTTGGGAGAAATGAAAGTCCTCACGGATCACAAACCAACTCCTTGCCAACACACACACACACACACACACACACACACACACAAACATACACACAGCAAACACCATAACCAATGGGAAGTGACAGTCTGCTTTTGATGACATCAATTGGGTACGTAGGATAAGACAACTATTAATCTATTCCAGAGACAAGAGTATATAGGCTGTCATAAGTGTTGTTTGTGTAGTCCATAGACTAAAATTTGAGAACCACTTTTCCAGTAAATTAAAAATAAAAATAGGCCCATGATCAATTTTTGGAGTTAGGAACCGAGATAGAAGCTACTACTCCAAATGTTGGGTTGCTATGAAATTCTGTGGCTTTTCAGAGTAGCATTTGATTTCATTAAAATCCTAACCTTTGACTGCTATAAGACTAAGCTATTACTCTTAGTGGATGTCAGCTAAGACTTCTAAATAATATTTACCCCCTTAATACAGTCCTCTGTCATCTTTAATGGTCACATTTAAATGAATAGGCCACTGACAACCATGATAAAAATGAAGACCCATAACCTTTTCACCTCTGCCCCTCAAAAAATACTTTTAAAAATAGTAGCAACAACTGTTTTGTGTGTGGTTTAAAAATGTACTAGCCCAGAAGCAAGTGACTAAACAAGGTTCAGAGCTTAGCACAGTACCTGGCACATCATAGGCA